AATGCTCGTGTAAACGCGCGCCATCTATCGTAGGATAAATGTACTATGCCAAAAACCTTCGCGGGAGTGTATTAAAAACTTTCCGAAGTTTCATGGCAATCGTACTATGCCACAAACCTTCGCCGGAGTATATTAAACAACTTCCCAAAGTTTCACGGCAATCGGATAAACGGTGTGGTAATGCATGAAGGACACACACACAGACAGACAGACATACATTCATTTTTATATATATATAAATTATTCAGTTCAAAGGAACAAGCAGCTCTTCGCTTGCCCTTCGTCATTTCCAGACGAACGACAACCCAGAACTCACCACGTGGAGGTGGCTGCTTCAGAGTTCCACCAAGAGTTGGAAAGAATGAAACTCCACAAGTGATTCGAATTACTTGTCGAGTTTCATTCTTCCTAACTCACACAATAAATATTTATAATTACCTCTAATTACTTTAAATTGCAATATTCTAAACTCACAGTATGTGAGTTTAGAATATTGCAATTTAGAATTATTACGTGCCTTCACAGTACTAAACTATCTAAACTAATGGATGCAATATTAGAACAAGTAGTAATAATGATAAACTAAAACCCATAAATATACGAGGTCGTAATAAAACAAACGCAGGTTAGGGTCAATAAACTAATTTACTTCGAACTCCTAACGAACCTCATTAAACAAACCAACAAAGAAAAAAACACCAGAATACTCGCCTTAAAGAGAGCGAGACACAGTGTCCCTCTGCCTCCCGTCGATGGCTTCTTTCTTTGCCCTTAGTGGGCTTTAAAAAAGCGGGAATCAGAGAGCTCTCTGCCTTCCCGTCGATGGCTTCTTTCTTCGCTTCTAGTGGGCTTTAAAAAAGCGGGACTCAGAGAGCTCTCTGCCTCCCGTCGATGGCTTATTTCTTGCCCTGAGCGAGCATGAAGAAGAGAGTACAATATACAACGTTTATAACTGTGACGTAGTACTCCTGAATTGCCGAGTAGAATGAAAATGAAATGCTGAATGGTTTTACGTTAACACTTTCTTCTTGATTTTAATTCACGTTCTAATGCCGACCCGAAGTTTGAGACTGAAAAAGTGAAAATACATTTAATTATTAATTTTTCAGATACAATAAATTCAATATACACTGAATAATTTTAATCTGATGAAATAAATTCTATTCAGAAGGAAATTTTAACAAATATGAAATATAAGTTTTAATGTTATACTGTAATTTAAATTTTAAAAAATTTCAATTCGTAAAACGTGACTTCCGGTACGGGCCGGAAGTTCGTGTACAATTAATGGGACCTCTCTCTGCCATCTAAAATCTTTTCATATATGATCTTGATTTTCATCGATATCGCTCCATTCTTGAGATTAATTAACGAAGTTTGAACGAACAGACAATTGTATCGCGCTTTATTCCATTTTGATTTTTTATAAATCAAATATAATAATTTGCTTACATTACTGGTTTACTTAATTGCGATTCTTCAGGAAAATCTGAAAAAAGGAAGGAAAAAACCCACGGAACTTTTAAAAGAATTGGAAAAAATCGGCTACCTACAATAGAAAAAGGGAACAATACATTCTAACAACGCGTTACGTATTGTTAGAATATATTTTTACGTCGCGTGTTATGTAAAAATATTAATCGGTTTGAAATATTTCACTTAAAAAGTTAAAATAATCCTGTTTTTCTAATAAATAAAACTATAGAAATGAAATTTACATATGTCGAGTTATTCAGTTATTGTAAAGTAATAACATCTATATTTATGAAAGTCCAAACAGGAATTTGTAATAATTGTGTCTCTTTGCACGCTACGTAATGCACCAGAAGGTCTTAAAATCGCTACTCCTCCTCCCAAAGGCTCGCAATGGCTTACAATTTTCAGTGTACTTGGTCAGTGTACTATGACAGTTGACCAGCCCTAAAATGGTGCTAGAGACATTGATGGCACCTCGAAGGAAATCCTACGTCTTCATACATTGCTATTCATGACAAGGCTGCAAAGATTATGCTAGGCGGCCGATTTCCCACAAATTCTCTGTCACGTTTTCCATACTTCTTCGACCTAGTTTTCGTAGATAAGTGGCCCAATTATCATTGAGCATTTGTGGAGCCACTTAAGACATTTATTTTTACCGTCTGAAATCGGGAGCGGCACTTAAACGCTGTACTATTCATCATGGATTAAGCTGTGGTAAAATAGTATTCACCCGATACTATTTTAATGATACTTATTCAAGTAAATTTCGGCACTTTCTTTCGATGCTAAATATTAATAAAAGCATTAGTAGTTTTAATAACGTATCCCAAGTTATTGTATTTCCAAAAGCAAAGCAAAATTTTCGGAGCCTTCCGGAGTCGCCACCTGTTGCCTGTAAATACAAATATCTATTATTACTACACCTCTTACCTAAGCCGGGGATCGAAACCCGGTCCCGGCCGCCGCCAATCCACTTCTCTCCTCACCGCTCTGCCAGAAACAGTTCGGAACTCATACTTGAGCCATGCTAGGCCGAGGAGCTCACTGCGCATGACATGCCCTCCAGGCGGTTCTCCCTCTGCCAGGGCTTTTCTTTGGTCTTTGTCGATGGAAGTGTCGTTAGAATACGTCTTGCTGCCTTTTAGACACGCGATAGGCTTAGCAGAGAGAGAGAGCGAGGCGCGACTCCCAATGGCGCTCCCCGGAAGTGGCGGTCGAAAGGTGCCGATCCTCGTGTTTAGGGAGGTTTTGGGAGTGTCTAGTAGGGTCTAAAAAACGGCAAAAAATGCCATAGTTTCGAGATTTAGTTCTAGAACTATAAAGAACATATAGTGGTGTGCTTTAAAATTTTAATATTTCACAAAATATATTGATATATGCGTTTTAAAATTAAAATATATATATATATATATATATATATTTTGTGATTATTTTATTTTGTATGTAGAGAAAACTTTCAACATATTATAGCTTGTTTCAGTTCTAGAGTGCCATTTTTTATATAAAAACTAGCTGCAGCTCATTTCCGAAATTAATACCCATTAAATGTGGTCAAATGAGTACGGTGAAACTTCTAAAATTGAACTTCATTTTCTAAAATACTGTTTAAAAACCTAACAATGCTCGTTGTAAATTTTTTCGGTCTTTAGAGGAATTTAGTAAAATCCTTATGTTTCTAACACGGTTTAGAATCGAAAATTTCATCTGATTGGGAGGAAAGTCAACTAGACTACATTTAAGGACTTTCCCTGTTTCCGAATTTGTTTACTTCTAAAACCTATTTCGAAAGAGGAAAACAGAGCTAAATAAATAATTCATCACTTTATTTAAGAGTTGGCCTTGATTGTCATACTCTACCTTACTTACTCACACAGCATACTGTATTTCCAAAGTACAGTTGAAACTTCGATATAGCGCTCTCCTACGTAACATCATCCTGGTAAAAGACCAATGAATATATGGGAACGAATCTTTTTTGTAAAATAATACGAACATTTAAATATCTACCAATTTCTAAATGTACGATTTTGTTTTACAAACGATATTGTTACTAACGGCGATCGGACGGCCGAGCGATTAAGATGGCAGATGGCCGTTCTGTGAGACTCGGGAATGAATCCGAATGGGTTCAGATTGAAAAAAACCAGGAATTTTTTTGGAGACGATCCGTTCGGATATGTTGGGCACATTTTCCCACAATCCTGCCGCCTGGAGGATTCCTCCAAACGACCGGATTATGGATTCCTCCAGCCCGTAATTGAGGAATCTACAATGGGACATAGACAATAGACCCTCTTGGCGTCCTTAGGGAGAAAAGAGTTAACAAAAACTTATTGCCTAATAATTAAGAGGAAGGTATATTTTGATTTGGGATGACTGGTGACAATAGGGAAAGAGAGATCAAAATAGGACAAATTTTACTGACGTAATACTTGAATGGCTCTGTATCCGGATTTAAAATTTATAATTATTACTCATAGACATCATAATTTATCAATCTAAAATATAACTTATAATTGAAATATTTTTATTTAATTATCCGCAATTAAATTTATATCTATATATAAATTTTAACGAATGAAGCAATTTTTGTTTTATAAAAATATTCGAAATGTGGATTAGTGTGGCAACACTTTCCCATTTTTTGGGAGAAGAAAAGGTGTCTGCGTTGAGGGATCTGATTAAAGTAATATCGGAATCTGCATTAATCGGTAAAAATATTAGCTGTAAGTTGTGTTTTTGTTGCCGTGAGAGTTACAGATAGAGTTATATTAAAGATGTAATCTTTTATTTTTGTTCAGAGATGATTTGTTAATAAATTTAAAAGTTTTAATAGGCCCAGATGGGTCGGCCATGTTTTCAATGGTAAAACGTGTAAAAATGCTTATAAAACGGAGTAAAATGAATTATTTATATCACTGTTAGCAATATGTTGATGATAATTAAATTTAAACTTGAGTTAGGAAACAAAGAAATGGTCTGAGTAATTAGAATGTATTTTGTGGAGTAATTGTAATGTTTCTGACAATTAATTTGTAAGTGTATATATTTTAATGTAAGTTCTTGATTTAACAGTTCCAAGATGGGAAAGATAATGAAAATTGGAAAAGTGGTGTTAGTACTAAATGGAAAATATGCTGGTAGGAAGGCAGTCATTGTAAAGGTAATCAAGTTTTGCTGTTTTGTTGTTTTAAAATACATAATCTATACTATTATAAAGAGGTAAAGTTTGTAAGTTTGGATGTAGGAGGTAATCTCCAAAACTACTCATCAGATTTCAAAAATTCTTTCACCAATATTTAGAATGGACCTTCAGGGTGGACATAGGCCGTATGTTATTCCGTTAAACATTCATGTAAATTAAAAGATATCATCTAGGTAAGCGTTATATTTTTGGTGTCAGCGGGTGGTGAGGGGCAAGACACGTATGTATATGAGATAGGTAACCGCGCCGTGTGGTCGGTGAGATATGCAGTGCATATGTTTGTCTGAACTTGTGCTGAACATTTGCCTATTTGTTGTTGCTTAAAATAATGAATATCTTTTGTCCCATATGCATTCCTAAAATATTCATATAAATTAAAATATCTAACTGATACTGTTATATTCACAAACTGAATTCCATGCAGGCAAAACTGCAGGCACAGCTACTTAGATATATAGCCAGTTGTAGAAAGAATAATAAAGGTTTAAATATTTGATAGTTAGGTATGTTATATGTATGATGGTCAATAAAACATCTTATTGGTGGTAAGATGCTATGTACGTTAACAAATTATATTTATGTTTTGATTTAAGACCTCTAGAAATGTATTGTTGTATGTTTTTGAAGGTTATATAACCCTCTGAGTTAACTTCATTGCTTTGTGTTGGGCCTGGTACAGATGTTGAAGTGATTATGGATGAGATTTGTGTAGCTATGTGACTGTTTTTTTTTTTTTTTTTGACGGTCTCACAATGTTGTAGCTGGTGATGTCACTTGTAACTGCTTTAAAAAACTGATGAATTTTTCTTCTATCCCTGTACAAAATATTTCTCAGAAATTATGAAAATCTGTAATTCTGAATTGTTTCTTCTAGCGTTGTGCTACAACCTGTTATGTTTTTATTGGCAGTGAATTAATTAATAAGTGGTATATAAAATATCTTTGGTGATATGTGTTTTATAGTTTCAATAATTTAATGAAGTAATTATGGTGTCCATATATGTGTGATAATCAATCAAGAAACTTTTGACTTAAAAGTGCAGCTTGTTTCTGAAATAAGTGGCATAAATATTGGTCAATGGTCAAGCCTACAATGGTCATACAAATTTAGTTTGGTGTCTCATCTGACCATCACATCTTAAGATTTTTATGAAAAATTATTTTAAGCCAATGTGATTTTTATGAGATTATTTTGTGTTTTATTTTAATATTTCAAATAAAACAAATTACAGTTTAGAATTTGACATCTGAAAGTAAGGTAAAAGTCCATCCTTACTACATGGGGTGTTTTTTTCTAATTTTTCTCTCTTTAAGACGCCTCTCTAGTAGACGTGTCTTAAACACACAGAAATTTTGGGGACGACGCATATAATAAGAGCTATAAGCGAAAACTCATCGGATTACTTACTGACTCTGCATGGTGGAAGCCGCCTTGTTCACATCGCGGAGTAGCAAGTAGATGTTGGACAGCAGACGCTTACCATTATTACGTGACCAGATTTTGACATCACTCAATCACATACTAATTATTGATACTAGTATGTTCAAGAACTACCGTGAATCAATAACTAGTGACGTTAAACAATCGGCAGCCTGCCAGCAGCTCCCTCTGGGAGGAGTGTTGGGAGCACAAATAGTCGCAACCACTGCCATGACGGTGCACATAAATGTAAATTGGTAAAATTTTACCTATTATTGTTATAAACTCGTTTAATATGACCAGTAACATAATAAGTCATTTCTAATTACAAAATACATACTATAGTACATTATGATATATCGTGACTGGACAGCACCGAGAACTGTCACGTGACACTCTTTGTACACGTCCACTGTGCAGAGTTGTTAAGTAATCCGGTGAATTTTTACTTATAGTTCTTATTATACGCATCGCTCCCAAAAATTTCTGTGTTTAGGACCTGTGTATTAGAGAGGTGTCTTAAGAGAACAAAGTTAGAAAAAAACACTCCATGTAGTAAGGATGGACTTTTAATGTCAGAATATTCAAAGTCAAATTTTTGAAATTTAAATTTGCTACAAAATGAAATCTTAATGGATTTTTTATCTGCAATTCCATTATGATCTCTGAATAATTCTCTTTAAAATAAGTTCTCGCTGATCATTCTACAATGATAGAAGGCTGAAATATAACTGATAGCAAATGCAAAAAGTACTTTATTTTTTTTTTCTGGGAAATTGAGATTATCTGGAAAAACCTGAAAATGTCAGGGACCTAGAAATTGCAGTTCAATTACTATGTTAATTTAAAAAAAAATTTTTTTTACCATAATTATATTTATTATTGTATATAGGTATTTGCCACATGAGGTGCCAATTTACTCTGCTCATGTGATACTATTGAAATGCTACACTGTAATAAATAGCTATAGGGGTCAAGTAGTTCTCTCTAAAATATAAAATTGGAAATTTGGCTGTCAAAGAAAACTTGTATTTGTTAGTTTATAGATCATGGTTATGCAATTCTTTTTAATCATTAAGAAGCACAACTTAAGAAAAAATGTTTCCAGAATTGTCAGTTAAATCTCATTTAGTCAGAAATTTGTATTTTTATATTTCTACACTTTAAAAGTTGTAATATATTAAGCTCATGTAACTAGCCACAGTTTCACTTATTAAAGAGTGATCTAATCTGCAATGATATTGCAACATGAGTGAAGGTGGGAAACACTATCAATCTCTGCTACTCAGTATATTATAAGATTTTGGATTAGGTTGTCTTAGCTCTTTTATACGCATCTTTTGACAATAAAAATTTAGAATTAGTTAACACAATGTATTTGAATATAAATTTTTGAAAAGAAAATCAGCAGTAATTAATGACATGCAAAGAGGGGTCATGAAGTAGGGGAATCATCATAATATAAAAATTTGTCTTACAGGAAACCACTATAATGTAAGATAAGAGGTTAATGCTCTTATTAGGAACTTAAAGAAATTGCATTCCAGGACTTCCACAAATGATCTCACTGAAGCACTATTATTCACCAAAGCAGAAAACTAGTCCTACTTAATACAAATATCACTCCAACACGGGTTGCTCTGGAAAACTTAAAAGATATCACCAGCATTTTGTCAGTTTTTTATTTTTATTTTATTTGTTTTTTTTTCCACTTATTATTTATCAAATTATTTATCACCACTAGTTTTACTTACTAATTAAATTAATGCAGGTGCTGGTAGCATTATTAGTCTGGTGCCTCAAAATCAAAAGTAACATTTCAAACTGTGACTTACAAGGAGAGGACCAGGTGTTCAGGTCTCTGATTTGAACGAAACTTTGTGAGCAAATAGCCTTAAACACAAACAGCCCCTTGTCCTAATAATAGGATCCACTTATCAAGCGATTCAGAAAAATGGGCATCTGAAAATGTAGTGTTTAGCTTATAAGCCTTTTGAAGTTTCATAGCGAAATGAATAAGGCACTAAGGGAATTACATGTATGTTCGAACCTTTGGAATTTTAGTTTAGTTTTATGTTTAACATTATTATTTTATCTTATTATTACTATTATTATTCCTCACATTTAAAGCTTATAAAACAAGAGATGCTATGTTGTTAAATAAAATATTCTTAATATCGTTTTCATATATGGTGTTATAGTGACATTTAAAGTGTAACAAATGTGAGCCCATGAAGAAATTGACCATAATATTAACAATTCAATAATAAAACACTGGGACTATGCTAGTGTATTTTCATATCAGATTATCCCTTTTGTCCACAACATTCAAAGCTTATTTACTTGTGAGGATATAGTATGTAGAATATGTAAAAATAAATGTGAAGAAATGAAAGTTTTATTTAATGACATAAAACAGTTAAATCTACAGAGGCTTGTTTTCACTAAACAGGAAATGACATCACAAATTTTTATCTGTTTTATACACTTTAAATGTCAGGAATAATAATAGTAATAATAATACCAATGCTGCAGTAAAATAATAAAATAATATACAAACATCTCCAACCCGATATATAATTATAGCTACAACCAACAGACTGCCGAAAATCTATCGGGCTAGTTTTATGCTACTTATTAAATAAATTACGTAATCAATTTGGTACTAGAGGTAAGCGTTAGGCGCCATCTCTTATTAATATTAATAATTATAAATAATTTTAATTAATTTAAATAATTTGGAACCGCTGGGAGAAAAAATCGGCCCGGAGCGGGACTCGAACCCACAACTCCTGCTTACCGTGCAGATGCGTTGCCAGTTACGCTACCCGGACNTGGCCGGTTGAGAGCCGTATGGGAAGTAGGACGTGGGCACTGAATGTGTCCCCAGCCGGCGTTGTAATAACCGTCGATGGTTAAGTAGTTAGATTATATACGCTGGAAGAGGAGATCGGATCGGAGGTCCGGGTAGCGTAACTGGCAACGCATCTGCACGGTAAGCAGGAGTTGTGGGTTCGAGTCCCGCTCCGGGCCGATTTTTTCTCCCAGCGGTTCCAAATTATTTAAATTAATTAAAATTATTTATAATTATTAATATTAATAAGAGATGGCGCCTAACGCTTACCTCTAGTACCAAATTGATTACGTAATTTATTTAATAAGTAGCATAAAACTAGCCCGATAGATTTTCGGCAGTCTGTTGGTTGTAAATAAAATAATAATGTTACATATAAAAAAAACAAAACTAAACTAAAATTCAAATGGTTCAAACGTACATCATCTAGTTGCAGTACTTAGCCTCTTATTTATCATCACTCAGAAACATGAAACTACCAAAGACTTATAAGGTAAACACTCAATTTTCAGTGGTCCTATTGTTTGGACATGGAACTGTTTGTGTTTAAGGCTACAATGCTCACCATAATTCATTCTAATCAGAGAACCAAACATTTGCCTCTCTCCTTGTTAGCAATAGGAATTATTTTTGAATAATGTTTTAATGAATAATTTCAAATGACACATCACAATGTTTAAATTTTCACATCACAGTTCACAGTTCTGATGTAAAAATTTTTGTTTTAGTCTTCTGAAAAAGATCTTAGTGAAAGAAAGTCATCCCAAAACATTCCCCAAAATTTCTGTCAGTCGATAAAAAATCCTTACTCAGGAAATGCTGGGCGGCATTGCTTAAAACTGCTGTCTGTTCTTGAAATCATTTCCTATTTTTTCTGCCCAAACATGTTTTATGACATAGTGAAATTACTAGGTTTGTAGTGCACGGGGTATCCATTGTATGGAAGCTCAACATTTTGCTGTTTTCTTGAAGTGTTATTTGAGGTTCAATTTCATGCTGAGTATCGAAATAAGCAGACTAGGGTTTTTGTTGCTGTTTTAATAAAAATATTGCCAGTGGCAATTTTCGCACTATGTAACTAGATTCCTGCAACACCCAAAAAACCAGCAAATAAATAGTAAAATTTACTCATACTGATGTTTCCATTTGTTTATAATAAACATCATTGTAGGATAATATTGTTTGTTATAAACAAATGGAAATGTTAGAATGAGTAAATTTTAGTATTTATATGCTGGTTTTTGGGTGTTGCAGGTGTTGTTTGCAATATTATTCCTTATAATTAGTAACTAATTTGTTAGGCCATCCATTATTAAGTTAGAGGATTTTAACATGTATTAAGTCTTGTGCACTTACTGAAATGTGAAAAGCTTTGAATTTAAAATTGCTCTTAATACATTTTGGGTGTAAACATGTACCAATATGTTTTAGTTAGCTATACATATTTGCATAATGGAATTTTATTATTTGATTTTGTTGTGTAGCTATTTATGTTTTCATTTAAATCTTGGCTCAACAAATTATATAGATATGCAGGTAAGTTATATATTATTAGAGTTTCATTTTTGTTGATTTAAACTGTAAAAAATGTTTTTGGTTTAATGTATTTTTTTTTTTTAATTAAAATGCCATAATGGCATAGCTGCAACCACTAACACATAAATATAGAGAACTTGAGATTAAAAAGAAGCCTGGTGATTCACTTGGTAGTGACAAAATGCTAAAATATAGTTGAAGCATATTTTAAATTATTATTTAGAGGGAGGAGTCTGTTTCAGACCTAAAATTCTGAGCCTGGGTTGAAGTTGGATTTGGAACTTGGTCTGCCAGCTCCAGTCTTTGGAGTTGGTAAACCAAGAAAAATAACACTAACTTGACAAGAACAAATCACATTTACTTCCAAGTACTTTCAATCAGGTCTGTGGAATCTGAGATAAATTCATTGCTAGAGAACTCAGAGTTAGTAATAATGGACCGATTCAGACTCCTGTTTTTTACTGTGAACTTTTTATTAATTTCAAAGCAGAAAACAGTTTTCATGCTGACCCAAGTGGGAGAGTAGCTGATATTCTTACAGTTTGCATCTCTTGTCACTTCAGGCTAGATTTGGATAACTTGTAACAATTCATTACATGAATGATCACATCTCTCTATCTGTTTAATTGCCGTATAAAATTTGTGCGTGAATTTCTATAATTTTATATATAAAGGTTTCTTTTTATCTAAATGCATTCACTTTGCTTTTGCTTGTTCCACCTTATGCTTTTCCAAATCTTAATTTGTCATTGGAAGAGGATGACAGAGATTCACTTTCAAGATTGAGTCCCTGTTTTTTGGCAGTAGCCATTTCATCTTTATTGTGAAGTCAGAGGATTTTCCTTGATTTAAGAATTTGTTCTTCATTCAACAAAATTCAGTTTTTTTGAATCTACAACAACTGAGGCTATCAAGATTTCATTTTCTACAGTTGAGCTTTCCTTTTCTTCATTGAGGACCTGATTCCATCTACAATTTGTCTTCATCTTTGGGATAATTTAAATAACTAATTTTTCTATTCCATTTCCCTGTCATTATATCTTTAGCATATAACTTTTTTGGACCTACATATGGGTAAGCAATGATAGATTCTAACTGAGACATTCTTCCATTGGCTTTCAGTCAGTGAATCGCTAGGATTATCAATATCTTATAGAAAAAATCTTAATTGAGCAACCTCTTAACCATTATTTGTATACTTCCCCAGCATGTCACTTGGTCACAAAAGCTCCTTTTCCAGTTCAGGTTTTATGTATTGCACTAATCTTAGTTAAGCCCTATGCAAACTAGTTGATGTGATTGCTTTTGACATGATGTGAGAAGCTATTTTTATGCTCACATGACTGTTTTTCTTCTTGATTTACTGCTGTCACCTGTTGTGATATCAGTCGTGATGTAGTTCTAGAGAACCAATGAACATTTTGTCAATCCCTCTGTGAACTATTACTTGATAGTTTGTTTATAAAATAACAAAAATTGGTGATGGTGATTGTGATTCTTATAGCTTCGTGTACAACCTCTTGTGTATTTTTATCGGCATGAATTAATAAGCAATATATAAAATATTTTTAGTAATATTTATATATACAATAATAATATATATTTTTATAGTTTCAATAATTTAATGAAATGATCATGATTAATACATATGATAATCAGTTGAAAAACTTTTCAACTTGAAATTTCAGCTTGTAGCCAAAATAAGTGGTATAAATATTTCACTGTGCATGAGCATCCTCTGATCATCACTCAAAAATTAATTTTTTGGATCTGACAAGTGTGAGTTCTTGAAGGGACCACATACTTTCTGTCATATATTGATAGTGTGATGTAGTGTGTCTTTGAGTTGATGACCGGACAATCGATGGTTGTCCTTACAATGATTAAATGAATTTTGTTCAACTGCCTCTGACCAGTTTGCTGTGATATTGCCTACTTTGTACCATGCTTAGGGTTATAGCTGCCATCGCTAATTGTCTCAAAAATTTTAAACCATCTTTTAAAGTTGTAAAGTTTTGATACCTCTTTGGCATCAACATTAAAACCTTATCTGTGTGCTCTGTTGCACTGTACAGACATTTCTTCTCTGTTAATGATATTTTCTGCAGTTTTATTCATCTTTTTCATTGTCTTAAACTTGTTTGTTATATTGCCAGTAACAATCTGTTTTTTCTTCATTTCAAATTATTTCAAAACTTCTACAAGTGCTGAAGATAATTATCATCATGATTTGCTTTGGTGTTTTCACTGCCAGTATCTGAGTTAAATCTTGCATTGATAGCAAAAAAATAATGTTCATATACAATATATTACTTCAAGTACAGTGTACTTTCATTATATTATGTTTTAAATAATTAGATGGCTTTTTAATAAATTAATAATATGACAGTTCTGTATATAGTGATCATTACATTTCTTCTGTATGCAAAGATCATTCAGTGATAAATAAAACAGCAATAAAAACTAATATAATTTTTTTTTTAGAACAATGATGAAGGCACGTCAGACAAGCCTTATGGTCATGCTCTCATAGCTGGTGTAGACCGTTACCCCCGTAAGGTGACAAGACGCATGGGCAAGAAGAAGATAGCCAAGCGATCCAAGATCAAGCCTTTCATGAAAGTTTACAATTACAATCATCTAATGCCAACCAGGTAGTAACATTTGACTGGTTAATGATGCTTTTTGTTTAAAGTACTAATTTCTAAACCACCAAACAGATACATGGTAGACATTCAGTTTGATAAATCTGTCGTAAACAAAGAGGTGTTGAAAGACCCGGGAAAGAGGAGAAAAGCACGCCGAGAGGTCAAGGCAAAGTTTGAAGAAAGGTATCGTTGTCTGCAATTATGATTTTTGAAAATATAAAGTATTCAATCTAACAATTGTTTCTCTTGGCAGATATAAGACAGGCAAGAACAGATGGTTTTTCCAAAAACTACGATTTTAATTGTAAAAATACCTCTCAAATAAACAGATTCTTCATGACATAGTTCATATGATTTTTGTTGTTTTTAGTCTGAATTAACTAACATTAAAAATAAAATTTAAAAAAGAAATGACATGAATACTGTTGAGAAAAAAATTATATTATTCATAGAAAAATTGCAAAAAAAAAATTTTATTTATTGTATGCAATTGGGGCTACAAAAAGAAACAACTGTTGGCAGTTTTGTGGAAAATTTAGTAATTTTTATTAGTTTTCACTAAGACCCAAAAGCAAATTTGAGAAATGCTTTGGAACAATGAAACCCCAAGCTACAACGAGTGAAACCAGCTGATTCCTCTATTATATAGGAGATTCTTAAAGATTACTGCCTACGTAATCAACTCAGAAGGTAGAAATTAGTGAAAACTGATTCATTGAAATATCAGGATATTGTTTTTCCTTGTGATGATAAAACTACCTTGGTAAGCCTCCAAATGGGCGATATGTATGATAGTTTGTTCACAAAATGTGGCGTTTGCATGCAAGTTATATTCCACCCAGAGAAATCATAACTCGGGAAATGGATATAGACATCGGAAGAATCTAGATGCTGATCTGAAAGAGCACAAATGCTCAGAAATGCATAAAACTGCATGCCTGAGTTTGATGGAACTTTAATTGGGATTGAGCACAGCCTTAACCATGAACAATGAGTTCCAGAAACAATAGAAATATTTTGATTCGTGTGATTTCCAACAAAGTTCCTCAGAAAACAATTTACCTTTCATGGTGATGGACTTAATTGGCAATACAAAAAACAGGAAATTTTCTAGGAGCTGTAAAATGCACTATTTTATTCGTTACTCAACAAGAAAATTCAAAATAAAGAGAATAGGGGCCATTGGAAAAAATGTTCAAAGTCAGACTAAAAGAGCAAAGCACAGCAGACTGGTGCAGCTCAATGAGAAGTTATATTGGTTTGCACCAGGAACGTTTCTCATTGTGGGGTGCAGTGTATAATTCTAAACTGGCCCGAATTAATTCATTATGTGAAATTTGCTTAGTCATGGATTTTGCTAAATCGTGTACAAATATTTAATAGTATTTTAAGTAATTTGAATTATTCAGCGCATTTACAACTGCTATACTGCACCAGGAAATGGATAGTCTGGCCTTTTGAAGCGTGTAAAAATTCACCCAAACCAGTCTGAAACGCGCTGGAATGCCAAAAATATGTATGTTTTTGATGCATTCGTTGAAATTAACATGACATTTGATGCTCTTGCTATGGGGCAGATAATTTTGGAAGTAGATACTAAACTTCACTGTTCGTATTCAAGCAGCCTTCTGATGGTTTGAATACGGCCAGCAAAGATCTCCAGTCTGACATTGCTGATTTGGAAATTACTTTTCCAAAATTTCAAAAAATTAATCCAAAAAACCGAATTTAAAAGAGATGGCCTAGAAAATGAAGTCGAACTTAAGGTACTGTACGTTCGTAAAGTCCAACGAATGAATCGAGAATGACGTCATCGTCATATTTTCGTGGGATATTTTGACCGATTCGTTTACAACAAATATTTTTATCGGAGTGCTTAACGCGAGTAATTATTTGAGTCGTTCGGATTTTAATCCACAACATATATTCGAGTGAATTTAGAAACATCTGTAGCGCCATTTTCTTTACGTTATAAACTAGTTCTCAAATTCGTTTAAACGTCAGAATAGAGCATGCCCATCCAGCTGAAAAGAGTAACAATAGAGAAAATTAAGATTATTTGATTATATTTCACCTTGCCCGTTTTCACCGTGTGCAAGAATTAGGTCATCCTTTTTCGAGGCTAATTAGAGAATGTTTTAAAGCGTTTTCAATCTACATATAACGTTTATTCTGTTTAGTAAGTTACATAATGTTATACAACCTGTCAGAAAACTAAAATTCTAACAAAAGCAGTCTATAGACTAGTACTGATCTGAGAACCACATTTTAATATAGTTTAAACAGGGTTAATTAAAACCACTTAAATGATGCGTATTGCAAACATTTTAGAATAAGCGTTAAATATTATTAAAGCAATTTTATATACCGGATTTTTTATTTCATCTAACAACAAAATATTTAAATCTCTATTAGTAACCTGATATTGTATTTTTTAATTTCACTAAAACTGTTACCTGAGAAAATGCCACACGTTCACACTGAATGACAGCATATAGCATTATTTGTATCAAATTATGAATTTATAAAAGAAATAATAATTATGAAATATGCACTAAATTTCAGTTGAAGTTATCTTATTGAATATATATATATATATATATTCAAGCAATCTTGTACGTAATAAAAGAAAATATCTATATATATAACCCATTCAATGGGTATCTGTCTGTCCGCGTAACCGATGCCAAAAACGGTCACTAGAGGCGCCCTAGCGAAGATTATAAATTAACAATAAATTATATTTATTTGTAATAGGAATTTATTATTTATACCACGGAATGGTATAATTATTATATGCCTTGATTAACCTTGCGCCGCACGTTTACAACATCCCGTGACTCACAAGTAGGTGAACGTCGCGCATTGACTCACGGGAAATTTGTTGAAATAATGGCGGATACATTTAAAATCGAGGTTTACAAGCAAAGGTAAATAAACAAATTAAACTATTTTAAAGTATTTATAGAATGTTTAATAGGTACAATTATAGATCCGTATGACGCGATTGGGACTGGGACGGTAAGATGAAGACTCACCGAATGAAGGGGTGGCGACCCCCCTTTGTGCGAACAATAAATGTCTAATGAACCATACCCCTACGCGCGACCCTTTCCGAGATATAGCCCGGTAAGATTTACCCTCCGAATGAGGGGGTCGCGACCCCCCCGAGTGTGGTCGAGCGCGCGTTAATTTTTTTTCGCGCGGTATGCTCCCTTTTGACCACGATGTCACGTGACCTGAAATGACGCAGGCTAGTCAGAAGAGGAAAATTTTCTGTAGTCTTCTAAGCAATTGATCATTTATTAAAACATTTATTATAATATTACAAATCACACAGCAGAAACTTTCACAATAATAATTAAATTATTATTATTATTTATCTTATACTGTAATCGAGATAGGTTAATAATAATAAGCGTAGAGCCCAAACGGTTAGGAGTTGAAAGTTGAAATTTGGTAGACAGGATACACCATGAGAATGTAGTACACTAACAAGTTATTTTTGGAAATTCCACCTCCCTCCCGGTGAGAGAGGAGGAGAGAGATAAATTAATATTTTGTAATAATTGAGAGTATTGTAACAGTCAAATTGCATAGTCTAATGAATAATTGTTGCTTTATAATCATTTTATTATAAAATAAACAATAAATAAAGTTGAAGTTGATATTTCTGTTTGTTGGTTTAATAAATTTTTATAAATATATTTATGTAATTCTCTACATAAGTAATTAAACTTAGTTTATATGCATAAGAAAGTTCTTAAGGAAGGAAGTTATTATCTCTTGCAAATACTTTTGAAGATTTACTTTACATCTTATGTAAAGTTTGTGAGAATGGTTTTCTTTTCTCTTCATCTAATTTTAATTTATAAAAGTGTTTAATCTGAACTCCCGTTGCAGTTTGTGTAATTTAGAAGTGAACGCGAATATAGGAAACGAAGTATATTTTTATTTTAAGAAATATCTTCAAATTTCTTCTGTAATTTTTGTATTTCAAAACTAAATAAATTTATCCTCGTACTTTATTATACGAACCATTGACATAGCTTTTTATTTTGAAACCTTAGTTAAAGCCTTAAATTATACTACGTATACACCGTTGTCTATCGAATTTTTATAATTCGGTGCTGAATAACAAACCATTTATATATATACTAGCAGATAAGCCCGGTGTTGCTCGGGCAAAAAGTAACGATAGTGAAGATTAAGATAATTACATTATAGCTAATCTTACCCGTTTTCACAGAATGCAAGAATTAGGTCCCCCGTTTCCAGACTAATTAGAGAATTTTTACATGAGTCTGAAAATATGTTCGATTTCCCGCAAAAACTCAAAAAACCGCATCTGCTCCTGTAAACCTTGCACGCCGCTTTCTCTTAACATTTCCATTGTTGAGGAATACACTTCTTTCATTCCTCGTGGAACCCTACTAAAATTCAGTCAAAAACGCAAAAATCCGCATCTAAAATAGTATAATAGAAGCCGAGTTCTTCAGGATAAGCCTTAATTCTCTCCCCCTCCCCGTGGGGGAATTTCGAAAAATTCCTTCTTACAAGTTAGTGTGCGTTCTCGTGACGTACCCTAACTGTGTACCAAATTTCAACTTTCAACTCCTAGCCGTTTGGGCTCTGCGCTTATTATTATCAACCCATCTCGATTATACATTGATACTAGCTGTTACCCGCGACTTCGTCCGCGGAGGTTTTGCAAGCAAACCCCATTTACATTCAATATTTCAATAACCATAGCAGTGGCGTACCGTGGGTGTCAGCCACCCGGGGCGGAGAAAAAATTTCGCTCCCCCTTATTTAGATATTTCAATTTAAAAGACTAAAATTCAGTTTTGTCACAGAACAAGCAATGAAATTCCGTGCTAGTGCAGCGAACTGTTTAAATTAAAATAGTTCTTTTGAATATTAGTGGTGTATATGAACACCAATGAGTCGTAAAGGCAAAAAAAAGGGGGCTACAGGTTTCGCAGGATTTCCTCGGATTAAAAATTACTAGTTCACCGGGACGGCGAGCCGACAGTCCGGACGATAGCACTATCGTAGGCGCGATGCAAGTATAGATTAGGATGTTTCAAATTTTTACAAGATATTATTATTATTTATTTTGAAATTTTGCCGCCCCCTAAAAAGTGCCGCCCGGGGCGGGCCGCCCCCACTACGGTACGCCACTGTATAAACGCGTCTCAACAAAAGCTGAAATAAATGAACGAGTTATGCCAAGTGTTGATTATTACGCTGCATTGCGGTTTTGAAAAACAAATAAAACAGACTCGATGTGATATACTCCTACGTAACTATATAACTACCTTTAACGTTATATAACTGCCTTTGTAGTTATATAAATCAAATACTACAATATAACGAACACTAAAACGAAAAGCATAAAATGTGTTTGGTTATATCAACCTCCCATTGTTACGTTTATCGCGGTACTCGGAAGATACAAAATAACACAAGTTCATCCATCAAGTAGTAAGCAATTAAATCAGCCATATAATATCTTAAAATATTTAAGATATCATTTCTTCCCTAATATTAACTCTAAGTTGAACTCGATAGTTTAAAATCGTCGATCGGTATTTTAATAATAAAATAATTTTGGCTATTAGTAGGCGAATTTTTTAATAATGTTGTAGCGAATACGTCATATTTATCAATTTCCGGAGGGCGCTGGTAACGTTACACGTGTTTAAGAGACAAGTTTGTAACGAAATGGAAGTTGCTGCTTCGACCACAGAAAAAATAGAGGAGGAAGAGGGAGAAAAAGAAATGACAAACTACAAAGTAACTGTTAAGAAAAAGAAAAAGAGTGAGTGAACCTTCCAGGATTAGTTTGAATTAGTTCAGACAAGTACTTTGGTGTAAACGTTAACTGATCGGTTTTAGCTTTGTTTTTTTTTTGGTCGACTTTTAGCTACCTTGTGTACATAGGCAAATAGCTTATATGACAATAGTGGAAACTCTCGTGAATTAGCATGCACCGTAGTGGAGACAGCGGGAACTAGCGACATCTAACGGTTTGAAGAGAACACTAACACCGCAGACAGTATGTAAAGTCTAACAAAACTTGCAAAAATTCAACGAAATAAATATTTTATCATCGTTTTGTCTCTATTTTATGATCTTAAAACATGAATTATAATTTTATTTAGTAGGAAACGTTGATGGATAGTGATCCAAAGGAAGGAATAATAGCAACAAAACAAATCAAATGCAATGAGTCAGATTTTTTAAATTAAAATCTGAGGTTTTAATTTCATTTTATTAAATTAGAACACATTGAACACCAAAATGTATTATGTGCACAGTTTGATCAAACAGGTCATGGATAATATAGTTATTACATATGTGCAATCCTTTTTAATTTAGCATTTTTTGTTCTCGGAAAACTTTCAGATGAATCATTATTTTTTGTCACATATGCTTTAATAAGGACTTTGAAATATTTATCTGCCAATAATTTAATACAATTGTCACAAACACCTTTAATATTTGTATTCTTTAAGAAATAATTAATTAACTTAGTTTTAATTCCATATGGTCTCTGTAACAAAAATATATTAAAATTATAAACATCAATTCACAGCACGAGTAGATAATAACAACACCAAACGATCGCAAACACCAAAAATCATTTAAAATAGCCATATTATAGCCCGATAAATTAGGCGATCGTTTGGTGGTGTTATATTAAAATTGTTTTGAAATATTGCTGACATTTCTGAAGATAATTTTTTCCCACACCCATTTGGATACAGCATTCTGCAATTGTCATCAGTTTCTATTTAAATATTCTGGCCCTTTTGTTTTTAAAATATTGTCTAAGTCGGACCTTCTGCTTTTAACAACCCACTGAGTGCATCTGAAAATCAATATAAACACATACGTTGAATGATAACAATATTTTAAATGAGGAATGTTGATATAAATGAAAACAATCTAATTGCTTATGAATTTACTTACACTTGTTTGTTTTTAGGGAATCTGTAAAACGACTTGCGATCACTTTGTATCTTATAGTTAAAGCAGCCATACATAGTGCAAATAACCCCTCTTCTGGCCATTCTAATTATTATGAGATATAAAAATGTTCAAAACTATATTAATATTAATATATTGTTATATATATATTACTATATCTATATTAATACCCAAAAACGTCTCCTTATACACGCGGTACAAATGGAGTGAAGCGTAGTCAGAGCCGGCTGTACCATAGGGCGAACGGAGCAGCCGCTCCAGGCGCTAAGACCTAGAGGGCGCCTCAGTGGTAAAGAAAATTAAACGGTATAAATTAGGGGCAACCAAGGGCGCCATAATGAGATCTCGCTCCATCCTAAAACTTGCCTCGGACCGGCACTGAGCGTAGTTATCTCCTCAAACCACTAGATGGTGGGCTGAAGCTTGTCACCAGTTTTCAGCAGAAGTTTCCACTATTGTCATAATAAACTATTTGATATAGATCTATAAGAGCTAGTGGAACTGAGTTGAGCGCCACCTGTATGCAGTCAAAGAAAACTGCTTCGTGAAAACACGTTTGTCTTTGGGTTGGTGGGTTGGATACGTACTGAAACGCGGTGCTTGTTTTCTTTGTAGTTTAGGGGCAGGACAATACTAATTTGAGATGGAGAGCATATACATTAAATTAAATTAATTAAAAATATTAAAAATTGCAGTCTGGCATTGTGACCATGTCATAATAAATAATTGCTTGTTATAGGCAGTATTGTCTTTAATAATAAACATTATTTGTATTAAGTTTTAATTATCAAACACAATTCATTATTATATATATATATAAACAAATTTTATTTGAATTTTATGATGGTTTATTTATGAATTATGCATATCAAAGTCCATAATTACACACAAATTTCAATAAGAAATTAACTACATATTCTTCATTCACCAAACGCTTGTATTATTTTACTTTACTTCTAACATCTATTCCTCCGTGAACAGTCAAATCCCAAGCATCATCTCCATTACATTGTCAAGGGTGAATAACCGTATCTAAAATAATGAATCATCCTTGCATAATATAGCTATATTGTGGAGAACAATAATAGATGCTTCTAGTTTGGTTCAGACTCAACCTTAAACAAAGAAGTCTTCCCTTTCATATTCAAAATAGTCTTTCTACTGTGTTTATAGTTTTAATTATTAAATATTGTAGGATTATGTACTAATTAGTAAACTATCATCACTGACTACCTAAAGAAATTAATTGTATGATAGATGTAATATTTATATTTAGTAAATCTAAAAACACACAATTTATTCACATAAACACACTGATAAAGAACAATATAGAATTTAACATACTTGGGTATTGATTAAAAAATAACCTTTCTTATTTCTAAATAATTCTGCATTTGTTCCATGAGATGAAATTGGAATATGAGTACAGTCTATAGCACCTATAACACCTGGAAACATGGCTATATCATAAAATTTTTATATTCCTTCACAGTTAATGGAAATGCAATGTATGAACTTTTTTTGAAAGGCACCTCAAAGCTTTAGATATAATTTTATTTATCTTATTTTGTACACATACTTTGCAAAATAACACAAATCTTCTGTCATGTTTCCCAAGATTAGTGCACTAATTATCTGAATTTGGTGGTTTTACTACTAGTAAAAAATTGGTGTTTTTAAGTTTTTAGAATTTCTATGTAAAACAATTTGATTTTAATATAAACTTTTGCTTTTATGTATCGTTGCTAGGGAGTCAAACAGTTGTAAGCATGCATGAGTTGAGTCGAATTTATGGGAGAAAGAAAAGTGCTCATCTCTCAGAATACTTGCGGTACTAGCTCGATTTTTTTCTTTTTTTTTTTTGTGAGCAAGGGGGGGGGTCTTCCAAACTTACTCAAACCAATATATTATGAGTGTTTCCCTCATATAAAAGTATTTTAAATAATACTGCTAAATTGCACATACGACATTTGTCCTGCATAACCAAAGCTCGGGAGTATACAACCATTCAAAAGTAACACTATGGATGTAAGGTCCTGCAATGGACTATGATATTTTGTCTGTGCCGACAACATGATGCATACAGATTTGGCAATAGATCTTTGCCTCCCAGCGATGATATATCAAACAGTTTAATTTTTATGCTCTAGATTTTCTTTATTAATTCTTTAATTAAAAAAAAAGATAAATATATAAATAATTTTTTTTTTTAGAGAAGTCGAAAAAGTGTAATAAACCCGATAAGGTGCAGTCTACGGAGAAGCTACTGAAACAGGTATGTTGATTTTAATTAAATTTTTTAAAATTTATTACCATTGCCATTTTAATTTCAATCTTATATTATATATTACTTTTTGTAAAATTTGACAAAAGACATTGAGATCAAATATAGAAGATATTAATTTGTGGAAACAAAAAAAAATTATTTTTTTTTATTTTACTGGTCTTCTCTTTGGTTCATTTATATCTGTAGTAATGTGATGTTCTGACCTTAAGGCTGGAGACACACAAGCATATAAAGTATTTTAGATTAAACTAAGATTTGATGGATAAATTTTTGTTCCAAGAGCAAGATTGTTACTTTAGGTGCAAAATGCCATTAAAATTTAGAATTTTATGTCAAGCAATTGGGCATAGTTCTATACTGATCTTTGTCTTTGGCAATATGATCTCTCTCCTCGAAAACACAAAAGAAAGCATGCGATAGTCTTGGAATCTTAAATTTTGAGTTGGCATAATGCGATCTCTTAACTATTTTGATGTATAGAAACACAAAAATAGTATTTGTCGAGTCTATGGAGTTTAATTGGGATAAAGCTAAGGATTTCCTCTTATTTTTAAGTGAAATGAGTTTACAATTTATTAAATATAAGATGTCACATCTTTGAAGTTTACTGTGATTGTTTTTAAGTAGACAAGTAGAAATTGCAAATAACTGAGACCTTAGGCAAAAGGTTGATTGACAACCTTTTGCCTAGGGTCTTGGTTATTTTCTTTTTCAATTTCAAACTTAGAATTTTCTATAACTTTAATATAATTATCTTAGTCTCCTAGCTTCTAAAATCCTAAATTTTATTAACAATAGTAATTTCCATATTTATGAAGAAAATAGGTTAATTTGAAAAGTTTACCATTATCCAAAATCAAAATTAGAGATTTTTTTTTTTTGATAAAATTTTGTAATGCATGCTCTTTTGTTTAAATGCAGAGTTATTTCTTGGAAATTTTAACAAGAAGATGCCCATTATAATTCTTTTTATACCAGAAAATCTTTACTTCTGCAGGCACAGCTTCACATTGACAGGTTTGAGTATGAAGAGGCTGCAAGATGCCTGAAGAAGATACTGTGCTGCGAACCGAACAACCTTGAGGCACTGGATTCATTGGCGGGACTATTCATCGAAACCAGAGATTTTGACCAAGCACACAACGTATCCTTTGTATTGGTGATGACATACATTCTTTTTTATTAAAAAGCTTTTGGTCTTTAACCTGTAAATCAGCTCTTACTGAAAATCATTGAACTGCGTCCGGATGGTGGGTACGGCTCGTATTTTACGCTAGCACAAATTTCTGAAGGAGAAGAGTCCTTACATTATTATAAAAGGGGAATTCAAATTCTAGAAAGACTGTTATGTGATGAAGGCCAATCAACAGAGGTAAACATATTCTCTCTCTCTCTGTGTGATTTAACCCGTGTAACATTGCATAATTATTTCAATATACATAATTATTAATATACACACACACAAATCTATGCCAAAGAAACTACTTATAGAAAAAATATGAGCCACGATGGATAGGAAAACACATGCACTCTATGTGGAAACTGTGTGTCACATGTCTACTCAATAGTGTAGTTCTTGCACTGCACAGGCCAGCATGTTCATATCTGTAGATTGGATGGCAGTGACAATACACAATCGTTACTCTGGCAGATTTTGAGGGGTGGCACACCTGCCACAAAATCTAACTGCATCCTTCACATACCCCCATAAAAAAAATCATAGGGAGTAAGATTGGCAGTAGCGTGGCAAATCTGGCACTGAGACAGATGTTTATTTGAGAAACATGAAACTTCTTTGTGGCTGTGATGGGCACGTCATCTCATTGGAACTGGTGGTCACCATGAGCCCTCCTAATTGCAGTGTTAAGAAATACCGCAGCATGTCGAGATCAGTTATCCCAGTTACGGTGCATTCGGCAAATTCTGAATGTGCTCAATGGTAAAAATCACAAGGGTCCTCCATATCTCATATTCACACATTATGGAGATTGACTTTCCTGCTTAAATGGAATGTTGCTTCAGCAGAGAAAACTACATAATCTTCGTTCTCCTCATGTCCACACAGAATTGATGATGTACCAGCCTTGCACCAAATGACAAAATCATATTGACTGTTTAGAAAACCATACAAATTGCAGTCATTTACAAAAAATTTCCACCTGGTCGTCTGAGACAGGCTCGGTGTGCAAGGACCTAACAGAATCAAAAAACATTTGTATACCATACACGTCAAATTGTGCTTTTCATTTTAATAGAGAGGTTGCGACTCGTATTCAGCCCAAAATGTGAACAGCGGACCATCGAGCGCTGCCATCTAGCAATTCTAGGAGGTCGATAATAGCAGTCGCTACGTCTAGCATGGCGAGTAGACGATCAGCTTAAACTTCATTTTTTTGTGTTTGGGGTTAAAATTATGACCTATTTTATTAAAATAATGATTTAAGCAGTTATGAATAATATTGTAAAGAAACAGACAATTTTAATCCAGAAATTATTTAATTCAATTTTTTAGCAAGTGATGTAGAATTTACATGTATTTGCCTTCATAATAGCTTATCTTAAGGTAGGTTTGTTCTTCCACGGCATCTTCTACCATCAACAGCATAATACATTTGTAAATTATCTAAAAATTAATTTTCCAAGCTGCTTTCGAATTTACATAAGCCACTACTTTCCTCGACAAAAGTATGAGGTAGTCCTATCGTCTGATCATACAGTAGGAGACACCACGCTAATTAAAAATAATTATTTAGTGTTATTAAACATCCTATAAATACTTTAAAATTGTTTAATTTGTTTATTTACCTTCACTGATACCCTCGATATTAAATGTATCCACCATTTTTTCAACAAATTTCCTGTGAGTTAATGCGCGACATTCACTGAGTCACACGATGTTGTGAACGTGTGCCGTAATGATTTTTTCTTGGAGTTAAATGTAAACCGTGTTCTTCTGCTTGCCGTGTACAAGTAACATTTGAACTTGCGCCGCAACCTCTCTAATTACGGAACTAGTCTTTTCAAACTGATGGTCCCAATATTATATGTTGTTCCAATTTGGTGGATCTCTATCAAAATGCATGCAGAAATGCTGTTGTACCATTGTAATGGAATTTGTTTTTGCTAACTCCATCACAGCATGCACTTTCTCTTGAATTAGTGCATTCTTCTCCTTTGCTATGATTAGAATACATCAAAATTTTTCCTGCATATTTGTGTGTGGAGCTTTCCCATCCATTGATGGCTCTCATATTTTCCTGCAATAAACAGTTTCTTTGGAACAATTGTTTAATTAATACATTCATTTAGAATCACGTTGTATATTGGGAAAGTGGTCAGGCCAATGACCGAGTATGAAAAATTAGTTTTTTTATATCCAATGAAAACTCAACATCTGTAAGGTACTTGTTTCTTATACTAATATTAATATAATTCTTTACACTGTACTACAGGTTGGGAGAGGGGACACTTGTACAAAAATATTTCTACGATTGTCCCCTCTGTCCCTAAAGGATTGGTGTCCAAGCTTTACCTTAAGTAGTTAAACAATAGAGAGGTTGAGGCGCACGTTTTAAACGTGTAAACGTGTACGTGTGACGTTCGGCGCCGCTTTCCCGTAAGCCTAAAAGTTTGACGATGNACATCTGTAAGGTACTTGTTTCTTATACTAATATTAATATAATTCTTTACACTGTACTACAGGTTGGGAGAGGGGACACTTGTATAAAAATATTTCTACAATTGTCCCCTCTGTCCCTAAAGGATTGGTGTCCAAGCTTTACCTTAAGTAGTTAAACAATATTGGAGGTTATTGCTTGATACTAAATATATGTAATAATTTTTAACAATTTCTTTCATATTCAGGTTAAAAACCACGAAAGTTTAAGGAAGGATCTTACAGAAGCATATTGTTCAATAGCTGAAATTTACATGACAGACCTCTGGTAAATGCTTAATAAAAGCAGATGATTTCTTCCACCTTTTCTTTACTAATTTTGTATTTTGTAGTGATGATGATAACGCGGAAGAACAGTGTAGATTTCACATAAACAAAAGTTTGGAATGTGGCCCTGAGTTTCCCGAAGGTCACCAATGTCTGGCGAGTTTCTTGTTAATACTGCAGAAGAAAGAGGTGTAGTATTAATTGATGCCTAGAATATTTCGCATTAATTACTAATTAACATAATTAATACTAAGGAGTCCAAGGAAGCCGTAACGAAAAGCTTATCATTTTGGTTGCCTCGATACCGAGCAGCAAGAGAAGGACAAACTGAGAATTCTGACGATGAAGTAAGTGGCATGTACTTGTAGTTTAGTGGAGAATACAGAATTGGTGCTTAAATTTCTTTAATTTTTACAGCCCTTTTTAGTGAATTATGATTTTAGGATAAACACGTGCAAAATATTAATTGAACTAGAGATGTATGATGTAAGTGTAGAATGCATGTTTTACAATTCATTTGGCTTACTATTGCATTAGTTCAGAAATAAAACTATTATAGGAGGCATCCGAAATTTTGGATGGCTTAATAGAGGAGAATGATTCTGTCCTGGAAACGTGGTATCTGCTGGGTCTGTTGAATTATAGCAGAGGGGAAGCTTACTGGGAAAATGCTCGTTATTATTTTAAGAAAGCCCTAAAGGTAATTCTTAGTTGCTTTGTCTCAAGTAATTGATACATTATGACTAAAACTAATTGATGGTCGTTTGCAGCTCAAAGAAATTGGAGTTCCACATGACCCTGAACAGATTAGCCAGGTGGAGTCATGTTTAACCGAAATGGGTCCGGGAAGCGATGGAGAGGAAGATGAGAATGAAGAAAATGAAGCGGTCGATGACAATGTGGACTTTCCTTCGGATTTGGAGGAAGAAATGGAAAGTTAGCCTTATTTGCATATTTTGTTTGTAAATAATAATAAAAACTACTTGATGTGTATAGCAAATAAAAGCCAATAATAAATGTACATGTTTGCTATGTCTTGTAATTTTGTCCAGATTAAGAGAGGGTATTTAAAATTGTCAGTACACATATTGTGCAATCACTTGAATCCTAATTGCTGAAAGAGATTTTATTCAAAGATAATACTAGCCTGTTTTCTTTTTTTCCATCTTCCAGTTCAGGCATGATTTTTCAGAGGTAAAAATTTATGGGTGATTGAGTCCCCCAGTCCAGCTATTGCAAATGTCAGATTATTGTCTTGATGCAACAAAACTGACATTCAGCAAACTAATGATGGATGGATTTTGGCAATCCTTGCAGCTGGTTTATCGAGCGCATCACAATAGCCATTACCATTGGCTGTTTTGCCGTGGCATAAACGATACCTTGGCAATCCCACCATATGATGCTCGAAGCTTGTTTAGCTTTGGTGAGTGATGGGGTTGTCGGTGTGAGGTGGCTTTGTAAATTCTCTGTCCAAGAAGTTAGAGAATTTACTAAGGCACCAAGGGGAAAAATTGGCCATTTTTCCCAATTTATGGACATGCATACACTATAAGGGAGAAACCTCCTGCACTCCATTTATTAATAGAAATGGGCACAAAAATTCTTTAAAAAAAGGGTGAGGACAATTTACATGCAATTTTATCCTAGAGAAGTTAAGAAAGAATTATATAGGAGAGAGTCTTGTACCTATCGACACCTCAATATTATTTTAATTTGTTGTAGTAAAACCGTTACTTGTAGCGACATTTCTTGATGAATTTGATAACTAACATAAACTTGAAAAAGTCAGCCATTTTGATTTGTTCGTCAAGAGTGCAACACTCATTATATTTTTTCTGCAAAAGTAGTTTTTAAAATCTGATTTAATCATCTGTTTCATTTGATTTTTTGCAAGGTGAGTGATCAATATTTGATGTTTTAATGAAATATTACTTTGTACTTACAATATTTGAAAGATTTTTATAGATCCGTTTTTTTATGACTCTCAACCTTTTCAACATTAAGTCAGAATTTGTACCTACGGACTGTCCTTAGGTACATGTCTTTCACATTTACTTTGATCATCATGCATAAATATTGTTTTCAGATACCGTGAAGTAAAACAAATATAAAAAGACCCAATCCCAAAGAAGAATCGGGCGTGGCTGCAGCAAATCTGGTTTTTAGTGGAAAACTATTGGAAGACTGGATACAATGTAAAGTTTGTAAGTTATGATGTCATAAAAATTGCACTGCATATGAAGACTGTTACTCAAAATGTGACCCAAAAGTTATTAATAAACATTTTTATTAATAATTGCTTTGTTTCATTTCTATGTGTATCTGTTCTCTATGTCCTTAGGGCTGTCCCTAGGTACAGGCAACTTTTGTACCTACGGACAAGTGACAATTTTTTTATTTTATCCATTATTTTATTAAATGGCAAAAGGTATTGCATAAATCATTTTACTATATGAAAGACATATAAAGTGTTTATGAAATACCTTTGAACAATCGAGATTAAAGAAGTATTTCCATATTTTATAGTCGTTAAAATTTTCATGTCCATAGGTACAAGACCCTATAACCTTACAGCACCATCTATTACCAAGAATTAATGGTGGTGAGCTGTCTAATTTGTGGACATGATACTGAGAAAACACTTTACAGCAAAAGAAAGTATTTATTCAAAATGAAAATTCCACTTGATCTGCCACCAAAACACAAGTGCATGTACTGCCTTCACACTTGATTCACACAAAAGATTCTGAATCCTAACTCAATCTTTGGTACCATAATCTATAGACCTAAGCAATTTGACTTGTTCAGAGGATCTCAGCATTAAAAAGGTATTATTACAAAGAAAATCTTGTATCTTTCAAAAGATTTTTCTTAAATCACTGCCATGAATAATAATATTAAACTGATGGGTAGGAATAAGTACACTAATAACCTAGTGTACTTATAAGTGTAAGGTAGTTGAAGCAGCAAAGATACAACTTGGATCTTTTGATGGCAAGTGACATCATCAAAAATTTTTGATGTAGCAATAAAAAGAAATTGCAATGTGATCTTTATGGTTTCACTAAGACAATATCAGTAACATGTTTGCATTATTATTAGCCAAATTTTATTTTAGAAAATATAAAATAAATTATATCAATAAATCAATTCTTCCAACAAATTTAAAGTTTACATTTAAATAAGTTACCTAAAGTAGTTACATGTCGAGAAAAAAGTTTTCAAAATTGCATTTTTATAATCATGAAGCATTTATAAATGCTAAATATAGATATATTATGAAAGACTTCTGTTTAATTATTAAAAAAAATAAAGAAATTATTTCTTCAGTGCAGCTATTCTTGCATCCAGACTGGCCATGTTGTTTTTAAACATCTCTGTGTTTTTTGTAAACACATCCTGAACCTTAAGAAGTATTAAAGATTAGCCAAGATATATATTTATCGGTCAAATATTTTGAATTTATTTTATGGTCTTACCGTATGCAGAAGTTTCTCGTCCTTCTTCAAAGAACTTGTTATCTGTTGTTGTACAGTATCCAACTGAGTCAGAGCCTTGCTAAACTGCAAAGCTTAAAATGAAAAATATCTGATTAGGAACTTCCTTAATTCAATTTTAGTTTTAAACTACATATGATTTTCTAATATAAATGAGCATCTAATTCAAACACAGCCAGAGCCAAATCTTTTGATTAAGTAATTAGATTCTGGTGAGTTAATTTTAATAAACTTAAAAAATTTACCAAACCTTATTTAATTCAGATAGGATTTTATGAAGTAAAGAAGGGAAAGCCAGGGACTAAATATAAAGAACAAGAAGTGCTACTATAATACATAATTGAGATATCTGTAGTCTATTTAATAATGCACATTATCAAGCTAGACCAGTGTTTCTCAACCTCTAACGAATCGTTGCCCCCTTCAATAAAACCATTACGTAGTACTGCCCCCTTCACTACAAAATTCCGATGCCGAAGGCAAAGACTAATGCCAAATTCATACTGAATTGAATAGAATAGTGACTAGTATAATGTTATTTGTTTAATTATTGTATGATGTAACAAATAAAATATCTAATTATTCCTAATATAATGTTTTACTATATTGCCAGAAAATTATTTTTTGCCCCCAAAATATAAATTGTTACTAATCGCCCCCTCAACATGGAAAAACGCCCACATGGGGGCGATATCGCCCCGTTGAGAAACACTGAGCTAGACAGTACTTTACTTCAACATAAATGGATATTTAGCCCATTCCATAAAGAAAGTATATTCTTTTTCCATTAAAAATATATGCTTGCCTGTACGCATGAGTATATGTAATTGTTTGTGTTTTATTCAACCTTTTCAATTAAACATCAATGACATACTAAAACTATTCTAAATTGAAAGGATTGGATCAATAGCAATACATAGATGATCTGGTAAGGAAGAGGACATCTCCCAGGAGAACATGCTATGGGGAAGGTATCTCCTACTTAGGTTTTACATATCAAGAGAATATGGAAAAATCCACACAATTGCGCATGAATTCAGGATAAACTATCCACATTTGGTGGTTTTATCCACTTGGCCACTAATGGATTTCATATTGAAAAAAATCAGAAGAAATGCAGTCATATAAACAAGTAGAAAATATTTAATTTAGTTTGACTAATTGTTTTGATTGCAGGATGGAATCAGAACAAAAAACTGATTGTTGCTACAAATATAAAACAGAAGAAAACAAGCAAACCTTAAAATTTGAGCAGGTGTAATAACCTTAAAAATGCAAATCTTATGAATTTTCTTTTAAAAATATTATTTCCTTTTCTAAAAATTGCTATTATTATTATTTCTTAGAATTAGGATCAAATGGAGATTTTTATAAAGGCAAATTTATTAGACCATATTAGGTTGAAACAAATGGTGTACATTTCCTAATTCATCTGCTGTGGCTCATCTTTGTATGTTGGTACACATATAAGCACAATAGCATCCAGTTAAAATGCATTTCATATTTTAATCAAATACAACATTGGTATGTTAGTCAATCCATTTTGTCAGAAAATGGGTAGTGACAACTGGGGTGATTTTTTTATAAAATTAAACCACACTAACCTTGTTCGTGAAGTTCTTTCAGAGCTAGAAGACGATCCATTATTACAGGCACATTTACGTTCAACATTTCTGTTTTTTTAAGAAGATCATATAGTTCTGAAATCTTATTTTGTTTCTCTATGTCTTCGACTTGTGTTTTCTTTTCGGATATCAGAAGTAGTCTCTGCTGAAGTGCAACTAGTCGACCTTCTACCTGATCTAAATGAGTAGGATCCAGTAGGCTAGTTCTTGCAGATAAAATTTGTATGGCATTCTAATATTTTAAAACTTGTTTTGTTAATTTTTCAAGCACTATTGTCAAAATAAGTAAGAGAAAAAAACCATACTCACAACAATACTTTTATCATTTGTTTGCAGAGCCAAAGGAGACTGTAATAATAAATTGTTACATTGAATATATATATATATATATCTTTATAAACAAAAAATTATATAAGTAACTTAAAAAAGTCTCATTTACCAATTTCTGCTGATCTTTACCAATTATATTTTCCAAGTTCTTCAAACGCTGTTCTAAATCACTAATCTAATTATTATAAACAAAAATAATAAACTTTAAAAATTTTAACACATTTTTTCATTTATTTTTCATTAGTCTGGATTTTTACAATGTGTTAATAATCATTTTACAAAAATTATTATTAAATTTGTTCAAGACTAATTTAATCTTTATTCCAATTTAATTCATCTACAGCAAAACCTATATGCAAAAATGCAGTTACTGAAATTTTACATTACTTCAAAAAAATTATACTAATGCGATCAAAATGACAATTTGATGTCAAATACTTTTGAGAGATAAATTTTAATTAGTATTGAGAAATTAATGACTTCTGAAAGGTTCATAAGCTTGAAGTGTTTCATCTTATTAGAAAGGTAAGAATGCAGTCAACAATAAACTGAAGACAATATTAAAATTATTTTTCTTAAATTTATCCATTTATTTAAGTCAATATATTTTAAGTAACTGTAATCTTAATGTTTTAAACTAGAATATTCTGTTGGGAATTCTTACATCTGTAATAATTTTTGGTTGCATTTATTTTCTGTCATTAAATATTTGGCATAATGTTTAAGTACTCAAATTGTAAAAGTCTTGTTTACTATGTGTTATATCTAAACTCTTGCATTTTCTGTATCACTCACAAAATTATTAATCTTTTTAAGTAAATTTAATTTATGTACATACAGATTTTATATTACAGAATACTTACTTTAGACGTCATATCTAATTTAGCAATCTCGGGCTTAATGTGTAACTCATATGTAATGTCACCACCACCAGATGAGGATGGTTGCTTTTCTTTTGGTTTGGAAGTAACAGCTTGTTGCTTAAATCCTTCTAACTGAGTTAATAATTTCCTACAAAAACAATTAGTTATTCTTTTAAAGAAGTTAGTTAATTTGTTTTTTGTTATTTTATAGTTTCTTTCTATGCTTCATAAATACATTTAAACTTTTTTAAGTGACAAATTATCATTTCATCAAAAATCAAAATTGTATATAAAAATTTGAGAAAAATGAGAAACAAAATATACTTTTGTAAGGCATTATGAGGATCTGATAAACTAGCAATTGCAGCTGTTCCAAGCATTTTTTCCATATTAATGTCAACTAATTCATGTTGAAGATTTTCTACTAATTTGGCAAGAGTTGCTGGAGACAATTCTTGATCTTTGGTTTCCTTTTGTATAGTAACCTATAAAAGATTATAGTTGGTTAATACTTTTTACTTAAACCAGATCTTATAACAACTCAAAATTATCCAAACAGTTGCATTTATAAGCATCTACAACAAAATTTTACCAAATATAATGTCTTAAGCTAATTTGATATGTTTAAAAATATTGGGTAAAGAAGGATGTAGCTCTTAAATTTAGTTAAATTAATAAATTAGAATAATTAATAAAGTTAAGTTTAACATTTGATATAAATCGAAATTCTTTCGTCCGATGGTTCTTTTTTACATTTTTTAAGACAAAGTTCGCTCAAACAGAGACCACTATTTTTTAGTTCTGTGTTTCAGACAATACAATCCTGGTGACCGACCTTCTTTTTTAGGCTACTAGCCACCTAAACGCTAAAAAGTCCTTTTTAAAAACACAAAAATTTCCAATTAAAAAAAAACTGAAACACAGAACTAAAATATGGTGGTCCCTGTTTGAGCAAACTTTGTCTTAAAAAATTTGATATGAAATTAACCAGTTTTCCAAATAATGACATTCAGAATGATTGCAGTTCATGATGATATAATATTTCTTATATTTTTGATAGTTCTCTTATTATAAAACAGAGAACTGAAAATTCTCACACAACGGTTCAAGAAAAAATTAATGAATCAAATATATACCAAAAAGTTATATCTTAATGCACTAAAACTTCAAATAATTTAATTAATCTCACAGATATTTGCAAAATTGTTATTAATATCTTAAGAATCAGTTGGAATTCCAGATTGTTGTTATTATTTAATAATCCATTATGTTGATTAGTTCTCTCATTTACCAGTAAGATCTAGTAAAGCTTTCAGTACATTTAAATTACTAAATTCACTTTTTAATTTATACATTTTCTGATTTCGGCAGCATTTGTTTTCATCATATTTTGAAATGAAAATAAAGTAAAATAAAATTGTGAGGACATAACTCAACTGGTGAGGATGCTGGCCCTGAGATATCTAGGGATTTAAAATCTCCTTTCTCAAACACCACGAGGTTTTAACCCTGACCCTGAGAATTGTCTCGTGACACGTCACGATGACGCGAGAAAGCCTTTTAACGTATGGGGTAGTGGTTTGCTGGACGCAAAGAGATCCACACAGAGACCAAAGTGACAAAATTTACCACATTTAATTCAATAAAGACATGCTTACAATGGGTTACACAATCCAGGGAGGTAGGACCCGCACAGGAGAGAGAGAGAGAGAGAGAGAGAGAGAGAGAGAGAGATTGTCTAAAATTATGAGTTCAACATGGAGAAAGTTCATCTCCATTGATCCAGTTGTAGGGGTCTGAAGAGGTTTTGTCTTCAGCACTGTTTTGGACGTTGGAGGGATGGAGAACCATCACGGGAAGTCCATCCTAGCTTTCGGAGTTTGGTATCCTTTCTTAGTTCAGGTCTCCTGGATCGACGTTCTCGAACATCGCTTCGCAACCTCCCTGTGTCTTTGGGAATTCGGGCTTTTATATGTTTTTACCCAAAATCCCGCTTTTTGGTCAATCCGAATGGTGGTCCCCTGTAACTCTATTGGTCCCTGGTCTGTTGCCAGGGACGTGATTCGGGCTGCAAGGTTGCCAAACACTGTGGCCCAAATCACTGGTACCATATCAGGGGAAACAACCAGATAGTGTTTCCCCGGATGATGGTACCGTAAATTTTACTCTAATGTGTATTTTTCTGTCCCAGAGAAGATGCAGCTGTCCCAGCTGCCGCCCCTCCACAGGTGTGTCAGCAGGTCCCCCTTTGAACTCTCAGTAAGATGACCTTCCAAAGTTTCCCCAGCAGACAATCCCTCTCCTGTTCTCATGATGTACAATCGGGGATCTGTCAATTAGGTGTGGAATGTGACAATTAAATCGTCTTGCACCCCATTCCTTGGCCATACCGGTCCTGTTTATGAAATAAGTGACCGATTTATTGGCTTCAACTTGACAGCCAGTTTCCTGTTGGGGGGTAATGTCCCAGCCTCACAAAATGAAAAAATTGTAACTTAAGAAGTTTATTGGAAAAATTTTTCTAGTGTTTTTCTATTTAACTAGTTCTTTTGGATTTGTATTTATTTAACTAAATTAATTAAATAAATAAAATTAAATGTAAAATAGATAATTATAAATGTTTAAAATTTTATCTTAGTCTTAAGAGCATTAAATTTATATACTGTCAACATTATAAATACAAAAACAAAAATATTACACACTTTCATTTGATTCAAATCTTCTACCAATTCTCTCATTTCATGTTGCAGTCTATAGTATCGTTGCTGTGGAGTTTCTTTCTCTTCGCTGTTATCGCCAAGCTACAGAACATCAATTGAATTAGCATTAGTTCTCTTATAAAAAATGATAATTTTTTCATTCAATTTTTTAAGTAAATAATATATATTTGAAAAAGCATCATGTAAATATTTAAATTTAAAATTTACAACTTTATTAATGTTTTGTATATCTATAAGTAAACTCTATAAAAATACATTAATTTTTTTATAGTACAGTATATAGAATTGTAAATGAAATAATTTCAGATTTAAAATTTATTTGATACAAATTCCTAGAAATATCACACCTATGAAAGAATTAAATGCAAGTAATTTCAAAAAAGAAACTTTCAAATAATGTTAATCACTGTAAAAAATATTGAACATAGTTAAATGTGTCATATCTAGAGATTTTCATCAAATAGTTTTTTCCCAAAATTCATAAAATATATGAAAGAGTTCTATTAAGNGTTCTATGTTCTTTGTATACTTGTCGTTTTAATTGCAGGTATTCTGATAACGTCTTAAAGTACACGATATGGTTTTAAATACCTTACAGGTATAGTTATAAGTAAGAAGATACCGCATTATTGTTATTGTAATAATATATAAGGTAATAATGTATATTTACTGTTTTAAGGTTTTAATTGTACCTGTGTAATAGTGTCATTCAATACACATACATGCTTTTTTGGATTATATAAAATATCATTGTGAGTGTCATACAATTAGAAAAGCATTACTCTGTCTTCTGAGGTATTTAAAAAGGATTTATTTAGTGTTTGTAAAAATCATCTTTGCATGAAAAATTTGTAAATTAATTAATTTTTTACTTTTTATGCTTTATATGTGTAGCATTTACACTGAAGAGGGGCTCATATAGGCCCGAAATGCATTTGTGATTTGCAATAAAGGAGTACCTAACCTAATAGCTGAGAGAAAGTCTATTGATTTTACTAATTCAGATTAAAGAGACACATACTAAATCTATAAAAATGAACAGAACTAGTACAAATGTTTAGTTTAATAACAGTTTATATAGAAGATGTCTTTTAAGTCTGGAACCAGAAGAGTGATGTTGATCTTTGTTTATTGTTTTATAGATAAAGCATGGAGCTGAGTTCAAGTTAATTTGAAGATAGGACCTACAGTCAGTGAGAATTTTCTGAAGATTTTAGCAGAGTGCATTCAGACTTCCACCAAACACAGTACTCTGGATGCTTCCTGTTAATCTCATCAGCAACTTCTCGCCAACTGTGGACTCCTCCTCAAAATAATGCAAATTTGTTTCTCCTTACTCATTCTATGTTTTACACAGAAAATAAACACAGCTCAACATAACTCCTATGGTTCCAGACTTATGGGACAACTGATTTATAAACTTTCAAGTAACAGATCTGAGAAATGAATACATAAATATATAGACAATTAATATGGAGAAATAATAACTACAATATTAGAATTGTATAGTGAGTTTTATTTAAAATCACAAAAAACAAGATAATGCTTGAAGTATTCTTTGTACTGTTAACTTTTCTGTAACAATTCTCTAATTTTATTCTAAAGAACTGTATGAATTAAATTCAATCATTAATTATCCTAGCTGGAACTGCTTCAGGTCAAGGAAACACAAAACACCATATACACCTTTTCAATACAAAAATTTAATAAAACAAAGCTTGGAAAACTCTGTTCAGGTTCATCGTTACAAAAGATAATCTCTTTTTCAATTCATTTTGTAATGGTGAACCTGAAGAAGGCTTCTCAATCAAGTCAAAACATTTTTTTAATTATATTTCTGTGCTAGAACAGTGAGTAAGGTGTATTTTGTGTTTTATTAATTAAATTAAATTTTACACATAAAATATTCAGAACAATTCTTAATAAAATATTAAAATAAAATGTTAAATAATGTAGTCACCATTTCCCAATTTCCTGATCTAATATCATAACCGCTGCTTTTCTTTTGACCAATGGTGTCAGAAAAATCTATAAAAAATTCAAAATATTTAATTATTTTAATTAAAATCACAAATATTTTACAAAAAGAGATATTTCAGTTTGTTAAACGTACCAACGCTATTGGCATCAACTCTTTTATCTTTGAATTTTTCATATGCATCATTAGCTGAAATATTTAATTGCTGAACACTTTCACTTTGATCCTAGTAATTTATTTAATCATCATCATATAAGTCTAATTCCTTAAATGCCTACATAAAATTTTTATTTACCACAGTGGGAGTACTCTGATCAGCTTCAGGCAAATCAGTTGTCTCGTAGATGTCCGGTTGATCACGAGCCTAGAAAAAATGACACAGATTAATATTAATTTTAATGAATATACTGGTTATTTCAAGTATCTAAGAATAATTAAATTACATTTAAAAGTAATTATTCAATAAATGAATGTTTTCAATCATCTTTAAGTTAAAAAAATTTATGTTGTTCGAACCTAAGAAATCCTTAACTTGATGACGATTAAAAATCATCCATTCTTTAAACATATTGCTGGTATATACTCATGTGAGTTGATTATTCTTATATAAATGCAAATTAATAATACTACAATTCAAAATTATTAATATAATTTTGTATAAATTATAAAGAAACATGTTTAATATTTCTGTATAATTAATGAATACAGGGTGTATAGTTCTTATATACAAGTGTGCAAGCAATGTATACAACACACAGTAACAAATGCAGCATGAAGACATAGGAAAATGGAAGTACACGAATAAATAAACACAAGAAAGAAAGAAATGAGAACATGTGAGAAATACATATTTTACTCAATTGTCTGTGCTCAACAAGCACACTAGCATTTCATGCTATTCACTTATTTGGGTTGTCCTTTTGTACTAAATTGGTCATGCTCTACAATTTTGTAATTAACTTTTTTCTGTATCATGCATCATTTTCAAGACAGGAGCATTAACTTCCAAATTTTATTGCTAGGAATGCTGCAAGCAATCTCATCTTGTTGTAGTGTACAGTCACTTTACTACAGCTTTACATCACATTTTTAACTATCTGCATTCATCAGTTATGTGGTCATATAAGGACTTAAACAAAACAACAAAAAATTTTCCAATACATTGGTTGTGACTTAAAAAATTATCACACTATGTTCTGGCATTACAGTACTAGCAAACAAAGTTCAGGTTATACAACTGAATATGTATAATAATTAAGAATAATGGCCAAGCTCAATTGTTTTTGCAGCAACTGTTAAGAACACTTAAAATTATAGTTCATATCTTTTGAACAACTTTGCATTTTTTTATTGATGCAGTACCTCCCACAATTGCAGTTTATAAAGCCTCACTTACTTCCTGATATTGTATTTGAGGCTGACCACAGAGAATAAACTAGAAGTCACATCAAGTATGTTAAGGTAAAAAATAAAATTTATTCCTAATCAAAATAAAAAAATGGTGCAGAGCATGGAAAAGATATATACACATATATAATCTATGTTTCAACTTAAATTACCTTGCCTGTTGAGATATTTATTCCTATATATTAGGGACTAAGCTACTAGTAGTTTTTTGCCACACAGTGATGAATTATTACATTTGGCTATAACTTTCATTAACATAACCATTTGCTATAACATTTGGCTATAACTTTCATTAACATAACCACATACCACAGCCTCAAATAAGTCCAACAACACAACTTAAAAGCTCTACGAATGTTTTCAGTCCACTCCTAAGACCTTCATCGGGTAGAAGGAGTTCTAAAATCTGAGGCTGCAGTGTGTGTTTTTACATTAATACATTGTCCAGTTCCAGTGAAAGAATAATTTTTTGTAACTTCTTTTGTTGTCTAATTTGCCAAAAAATAAACACAAAAATAAAAAAGTTTTTAATTAAACTTTGTAATTTTATTTCATATCTATTATCAACAGTAAAATGATTTTTAATGTATTATTGGATTCCCGCCATTTAATATTTGGAAGTCAAAAGCATGCTTTTTATTGTATTTCATATTTCAACAAAAACTTTCAAATTTGAATTTAAATAAGTACCAAACACATTATTAGTAAGAATTTTTAATAAAAACTAGTACTTTCAGTCTAATTTAGGCTGTCTTCAGCTTCTCTGTCAAGTACATTAAAACTTTGTTGAGTTACAGAATGGAAATTTAAAGTGTGTTCCAACTTGTAAAGAACATAATTTTAAAATGTAAAGTGTACTAAATAATTTGAAGTTATAATAATAAATAAAATAAGTAGCAATGAGTATATGAAGCACCATGTAATGAAAAATAAATTAATTTATTAATAAAAGTGATAATGAATAAAAAATAAAAAAAGTTAAAAGTTTGATTATCCTCATCTATAAAGTAGCATCCATGCATTGGAGAATAGTTTATTGGTCTCTTATGTTGATGCAACTTCCATAAGTCACATGCTGCTAGGGTTTCTCTTATCCCAGTCCTTTGCTTATCCTGGGATTTTGGGAAAAAAGTGAACTGGATCCTGGGATATAATTAATTATTTTTAAGATATAAAAAATATCTTGAAATCAAATGATATAATTATTTTTCATTTTTTAAAGTAATTTAATACATTTTGCAACCTCCAAAATTATAATATTAATAATGCTGTGTAAAATATATCTTAAAAATTACCTTTGAATTATGTAAAAATTTTCACAAATAGAACAAATTTATTAAAGTTAGTTGAAAACTGCTTACAAAAAATAAAAAAAAATGAATTAATATCAAACTTCTAACTTAGATAATTTTCATTTTTTAAATGAAACATAATACAAAAGATTATTGTAAATTTTTATAATAAGATTTTAAAAAGCAAAAGATGGTTGATACTCTGATCACTCACTTTGGTTCTTATTTTAGTAATGAAAAGTCCTGCTACTGAGAATGCCCTTACCGATTCAGTTGATGTGGGTGAAATCATCTTCAATGCATTTATGTGTTTTTTCACCCGTAGACTGGAAGATTTCTAGCTTGTTTTCGAGATGTGTTGCAGTACTTCTTTTGCTGTGTAGTATTCTTGATTTGTCTACCTCGGCTGCTTTAATAGCAACATCGAGCTTATAGCCTGATAATTTGGCAGTTCTTTTGGCTTTAATAATCAGGTTTATGAAGAAAAACTTCATACTCGTTTGTATTCTTGTCCAATTTGCACAATCTGGCATAATGCAATCATTGAAGCTATTGGGCATGGTTAAAAATGAAGACAGCATCAGCACAATTATTCAAGATATTACAGGTTCTGACAAGTAAAAAATTTTTGGAGTCCCGCCACAAATAGGCTACATATTGATTATTGACAACCTGTGACATGCCATAACAAACAAAAATTTAAAAAAACTAATAGGTAGGTTTAAAATGAATAAATACAAATGTATTCTGACAGTTTATGAGTTAATTATACTTTCTATTTGCAAAATTTCCTCAATCTTAACACAAAATAAGAAAAAAGCGAACTTTTAAGAAATTTGCAGGACTTCCCGGGATGAGAAGAATTTCCTGGGTTAAAAAACAGCAAAGATTCCAGGATCCTGTTAGAGAAACCCTACCTATTATATATTTCTATCATTTTCTTAATTTTGGATAATTTATATTCTCTTATCAGTTCAATGATGATCTTATCATCTCGTATAACCTCATTATTGAGTTGCATGACACATGCTGCTCAGGCTGTGTTATAGTGTCTTAATAGTAATGGTAGTCACATATTCTTTGAATCTTATGTCTAGCAAATGGAGTGTATAATCAATGTATTTAGTATTGAATCAAAGTTTCTGTTAACTGCTGGGATCTTGTATAGTCGTGGGATGCTGCTGTGTTTAGTTGGACTTCGTTGTTCCTTATTAATGCCTGTGTGATGGGATTTTGTCAATAGATATCATTGTATCCAACTTTCTGAGAGATTGCTTTATATATACTTATACTCCCTATTTTTAAAACAGTTAAATGTTCAGAGTTTGAGACTGTAGGAATTTAGTCCACATCAAGAATCTGGCCAGGAAATTTGGATACCATAAACAAATCATGAAAAAATTGATTATTATTTACAAACAGCATATAAACTATGTAGACCCTATACTAGGAAGACACAGTAGAGTCATAACTTACACCAAAGCCAAACAATTCCTACTACTAATAATTATTAAATATCAAGTAATTTGACATAGAGGTAGGCATTAGGCAGCCACTCAAAATGTAATGATCATTCAAGAAAATATAGAAATAGTTATTGCAAAAGCATAGAATTGTAAATCATTTATCAGCACTCTCAAGTAAACACCACCTCTAGATACAATANACTCATTCCGTCCACACTATTGTTGAACTTGCATGTTCGGACGTGTAGCGCGGAATCGACACATAGCTACAATTTATTTTGTGTTATTTATTTCTGTATTTGTTATATCTATGGACACTTCAGAGACTCTATGTGGTGACTTCTTGCAACCGTGAACGAATCAAAAGACGAGATAAGATTAAAGAGAACATTTATTAGCTTACATACGTCTGACTTGGATTTTACACAAATTGCGAAATTATACCCCGACTTACGCGAATTCAACTTACGCGGTTATCGCTCGGTCCTACCTATCGCGTAAGTTCAGGGTATTACTGTATTCAATATTTAATAATTATTAGTAGTGGGAATGTAGCCCGATTTAATCCAGTAATCGTTTGGCTTTGATACGATTATTGGGCTTTATGATGTTTACATAACTTACACCAAAGAGCTGGACAATATATATAAAGCAATGTCTCAGAAAGTTGGATTCAGTGTCATCTAATGATGAAATCACACTGTATATACATTAATATGAAACAACAAAGATCAACTTAACATCAATACTATTCTGCGAGCATACAAGATTCCAGCAGTTGACAGAAACTTTAGTACAAGTACCAGATATATTAGTTATACAGTACACTACACTTTGTAAGATTCAAAGAACATATGGCTGACATATGATTAGGATGCTCTAACAGTCTTAGCAAAATATGCCATAAAATCTAATAATGAAGTCTTAGATGTCTCTCTTGCTTATCCAATGCAAAATCCAGAAATCTAGAAGACAAAACAGCACTTTGATAGCTAATCGAGATGGAAGTCAAGGCCAAGATTGTAAAAAAAAAAAAAAAAACATAAAGGAATATAGCTAGACTCAATCTCTATTCATAATCCTTTTAATATTTAAAACAATAAGATTATTAGAACAGTTATGTAGCATATTTCAATGAAAGTTTGGCTGCAATAGCCAACTGAACAGTTTTTTTAAATATAACAGATTTTAAATTTTGTGCTCTAATTGGTTAGAAAAAAGTTCAGTTTGCTAATCTTGATTTAAAGATGGTATAAATATACAGTTTTCATCATGGAGAAATTTATTTCCCTGCACGTCCAGCAAAATTTCAATGCTTGCATATGCTAAAATGCAGTGAAACAGAAACTAAATTGGGTGTTTTGTTATATTAAAGCGTGAATTTGGCTAAACTTTCTGATATTTGGCTACAACTTTTTGAGAACAATTAACCACTTTACTACAGTTTAAATATGTGTAGTTTAATTCATAATGTATGTCATTAGACAATTACTTAGTAAATTTACTTTCGATATATAATTACAAATAAACCAAACCATCTTTTGGTGTTAAAGTCATTTACTTGTGAAGTTTTTAATTACAATCAAGTACTTTCTACATTTCAAAATTTCATCTTTGGGTCCAGCGTATACCATTCAAATTACAATTTTTATCGGTTTATTCTTCATCTAAGCTCAATGTCGTTAAAGAGCATATTTTTATTTAAAATATATGACAACAGACACTGTTAGCGATATATTTTTAAATTATTTAATAGCATCTACTTGCAATTTTCATTTTCTTTTGATATCATATAACTTTTCCAGAATCAACGATCATAAATAATTATTATATACACCGTGCTTCGAAATAAGTCTTCGTACTAACATCTTCCATACATTCAAAACTTTGTTTTTATCCACACAAGAATACATTCAAAGACCGGCATAAATTTAATAATCAAATTAAATTTAAATTATTATGAAAGTCAAAAACCACACTCTTCCGGCGTTAAAACATTTAACATCCAAAACTCGAACGTTTTCAGTGAGAGAACCGAGAATCTTTGGTTTTCGGACCGTCTTTGGCTCGAGCCGAAAACATCTGCATTTTGGACGTTAAACGTTTCATTGCAGAAAAAGCATGGAAGGTCATCATCAATTTGAGTAATAAATTTATTACGGGAAAATCACCAGTAATACAGATTAATTCGTACTGTAAAACCGCTTCTGTTGGAAATACTAAGATAATTTGATCTTAGTATTTCCAATGAAAGCAACTTTGTAATTTGAGTTATTTAATCAACAACTGCATCATTTTGTGTATTTTGTACTTATAAGGGTGGATTAATAACCGGTAAACATCAACATGACCTGTACACCATGGTTATTTACTGATCCACCCTTAAATATCCTTATGTTTGTTATAGATGTATATGAATTTCTGTATGGCATTTTACTAATGAGTCATACTGCCTTGGGAGAAAGCTCTCCATTCAAATCAAGTTTAAATTTGTAAATTAATGCAGGAAAATAGTTCCTTTATATGTACAATAGCTATATACTTGTGTAATAAGAATTACCAATTCATAAATTCATACATTTTAATTAAAACATACGTACAATTCCGGGTAAATCGGCATACTTTGGATTCGCCATTGTAGACAGACCTCTTATCGGCTGCCAGTTTTTAATTTCTACGTCATACATTTGAAATTTTTATTAATTAATAATCGTCGAAATTAAACGAATAATAATAATACTTTAATAATTAAGATATTTAATATTTTATAAAATTTAATTTATAAAATGTTTAAGGGTAAAATTTAGAAATAATAAATAAAAAAAATTGAAGAACGACAAATATTTGTATTTTTTAATTTATACCGCTATATTAGAATTAATAATAAATATAAATGTATGATATTATACTTAAAAGTTTATGTATAAATTAAGGTAATTAATTGTAGAGCGGCGCACGAAGATAAGTTGCCGCCATTTTTGATTCTTTTACTATATAAAATTCGTAGATTGAGAGATAACTCTTTAAAGCTAGTTTCAAGAGAAGCCACTTTGCTCGACGATACATGAATAGTTCCATCGTGTGACTAGCTAGTCGTTGCTAACGGTTAAGATGATCCCCTACCACTCTGGGGAATCCGGGATCGAATTTGGCCGGTGGAAAAACTCCAGGAATTTTTTTGGTGTAGTCCGGCCGTCGAAAAGTTCTGAAATTTTGCTGGGAAGTTCGTGTATAAAGGGCATCAACGCTATTAAATTTTGGTGGTTACTGGTCGAGGGCGTGGGAAGATAAAGGGAGTTGTATGTCGGACTTTAATGAAGATTAGCATTTATAATTTTTTATTTTTATTTTTTTATTAAACTCATCTGTACCCTCAAAATTAAGTTTTTTGCCATTTTTTGCCAATGTAAAAAGATCTTTACATAAATTATCCAATATCCTAATAGATAGCATCACCAAAATTTTAAACTTTTGCCGGGAAAGTTACGCTACTCGTTGCTGGAATCAGATACGACAAATGTAACGATGACGAAATCGCTGAGTTATTTATTACTCAGCGATTTCGCAATCGATACAGGCCTACGTACTTACAACAGTCACTGATATACTCAACGCGCATATACTGTACATGTGTAGAGAGATAGATAACATTTATGGGTACATAAAATCATCCAAATGATTTAACCGAATCGTAGAATGAAATAATACAACAGAGAAATTTTTATCAAGATAAATTTGGTTTTCAAAATCTAAAGAATAAGTAAGTAGTAAACACCTGTTAAATTTCGTATTTTGCAGCTAATTTTAAATAATTTACTACCTATAACTGATATCTTTTTTTTTTAAACTCTTTCCGCCCTGTGGACACTAGGAGGACCTCTTTTTGCAGGCCCACAATGGGGCTGCCGGGTGGTGAGGGACGGGGCCAGACATATCCGAACGGATCACCCCCCGAAAAATTCATGGGGATTTCTCGACCCGTTCGGATTCGAGCTCGGGTCCCCCAGAGCTGTGGGCTGCCACCTTGACCGCTCGGCCATCCGGCCGCTACTATTTTATACTGTAAAATCTGTCCAAAACAGAATCCGAATAATAAGGAAACCTGCCTTTGTTTTTTCTTTTTTTGTGTGTGTGTGTGTGTGTTAAAGAAGGACCTGTTCAAAACGGATAACATATTCGCTACCATGCAATTCCGATTTAAAATGTTTTATTGTAATAAATTTTAATTATTTTCCTTTGATTTTAAACCATTTTCAGGATTAAATTACATAATTCGATTCGAATTAAAACCATGAATCGTATACCGGGAGTTAATTACATTAAAAAACACAAACAAATATTTTTAAGGTAATCAAATAATTCTTCACACATTTCCATTTTTAAATAGAAATATTCAGAGTTTTAAATTCTACCGCTTCTGTTTACAGAAGGAAGAATATAGCAAAAGCTGTGTAAAACGGACTCGCACTTGCACGGTACGGAATATTTTTTTCAGGTTTGGCAGGTTTCCGTTTTGAACAATTTTTTTTTAACACGGAAAGACTGCTGCGTTCCGATAAATTCTTCCCGTTTAGGCAGTTTCCTTTTTATTAATTAAGGTTCTACTGTATATAGAAAACAATACTTTTATTTTTGTTTCGAAAGCACTATAAAGTACAATTAATTAATTAATCAAATACTAGGCATCCTTTTATCCTTTTATTTGTTCATTTAGTTGATACGCGTCGTTTACACGTTTCGGATCTTATGTTGCCCCTCTTCAGTCGACTAATTTTTAAATAATGTATATAATTACTACATGACATTAATTTAAATGCGGCTGGATGGCCGAGCGGTCAAGGTGGCAGCCTACCGCTCTGGGGGACTCCGGGCTCGAATCCGAACGGGTCGAAAATCCCCATAAATTTTTCGGGAGGGTGGTCCGTTCTGATATGTCCGGTCCCGTCCCTCACCACCCAGCAGCCCCATTTGTGGGCCTGGCCGAACCCATACTGGGCTTGCAAAAAGAGGCCCTCTTAGTGCCCACATGGCGGAAAGAGTTAAAAAAAAAAAACATGATATTAAAACGATACGTATAATTTACGAACATACCTTCAAATATTTCTTTCGGAACCGATTGTAATTGATGTTTAAACATATTTTACATAGTAGGTGTAAACGGGTACAGATTGTTATTTTCAGCTCAGTCCAGTATGATAGTCTATGGCGCTACTGTTTTCCACGCCACCGTGTTGTCATCCTGTTTACTCGGGTTTTATTTCTGGGTACAGTAGACCTATTGCTTTTCAGCCTTTCGTATTGCTTTTTCACCTGTATCCGAAAACGATGCCGAAGGCGACAGAGTACGTCATTCGGTGCCCCTAATTTTACACATTTTCAGTAATCCGTCACCTTTTTGTGCACGATAGAGAGAGAATCTGATTATAATACTGTGTTTAGGATAACCCCAACATGACAAAACTCATTACATATTTTTTAAAAACTCTTTCCACCCTGGAGGCACTATAAGAGACTCTTTAGCAAGCCCTTTATGGGTTCGGCCAGGCCCACAATGAGACGGCCGGGTGGTGATGATCGGCACCCCGACATAACCAGGAAAGACTAGCTCTGAAAAATTCCTTGGGTTTTTCGATTTGTCCTCCAGGACAATAGGCTGACACGTTAATTACTCGGCCATAACTTAAAAGTAGCCTTTGAATCTACTTTTTAAGAGAGTCATATGTAAACTTTATTGTAAAATTTGTAAATACAGTAGGGGCTCCCGTCATAGGTGAACATTACGATCCAAGGCTCATTGCGAAAGCAGAAATTCACGTAAAATAGTGAACTCCATTGATTATTTCGTACACTAGCATGCCTATCACACATTTTTATATAAATAAAGCAAATAACAAACACATTAAACATAAATGATAAAACAGCTACTTTAAAAAGTTTTCGGAAACAGACCCTATTTTCATTTTGATACCAAATCTAACATCTTAAATTTTTTAACTGGTTTTTGGACCATCCTTATTAATTATTATATATATACTGTACTTGAAATAATTCAAAAATTTAGAGTAGGAAGAAACAAAAGTATTTTTTTGCCAAACAAAACAGTATGCCGTATAACTGAAAGGGCGAGAATATGTTGCACCGAGAAAGTGTTAATATTTCCCTCATCCATACTACTGTAATTAAATGATGGAGTAAATTCTTATATTGACTGCCTTTTCTAGCGTATTAACAAAAATTACTTGTTCGAAATAAAATACAGTATATTCAATTATTTAACTAAAAACCCCAAGAACGGCAACACTTAAAACTGCGCGTGGCTTCATCTATTATACATTTTATTTAAAAAACTTTCTACATTATTAATTATTATAAAATGGCAAAAGGCTTAATTTTAAGAGCGCTTTAATAAAAAAAAAAAAAAAAAACTGTAAATCTAATAACCAGTAAAATCTTCATTTCAGTCCGACCCCACGCGAAATACAACACGTGACTCCCTCTATCAACCCAACCCTTCGGGACCATTAACCGCCAAACTTTAATAGCCTTAATGCCCCTAACACAAACCTTCCTGAAAAATTTCTGAAATTTTTGACAAAAGGCACAGGAGTTTTTAAGCTTCAAAGTGAATAAACAAAATCCAAATTAAGATGTTGGCATAAATGCAATTTACACCAAGACATCTCGTGTAACAATAATCAAGAGGAATTTCAAAGTATACGTAGATGTAATGTACAGTACTTGGCCACTTCATTATATATCCATTTTCTCCCTTCGATTCTTAAATACATAGATATTTTAAAGCTGTATTATAATAATTACATGTTAATTAAAATTTATTTTTAATTCTTCCATTGGTAATGACTAATTTCCAATGGAAGAATATCTAATTTAAATTCGAAACAAGAGAAATAATTAGGTTTTATCTAAAGTACTTGAACCATATCTGTCTTTGATTTTTATTTATTTACATTAAATTAAATCTGAAGTAACTTAATCTCAATTTTTGTTTCTTGCGGATCGAACAGAAGAGATAATAATCTGTAATCAAATTACAGTATTTATTTTCAATATTTAATTCATTTCAGCTTGCATAAAGAAACTCTTTCATTATCTTCCTTTGTTCTCGAATCAGTAAAACCTGCCTAAACGGAAAAACCTTCGAAGCAGAGCCATTTTTTACGTTAAACAAGAACCTGTTCAAAGCGGAAACCTGAGATTTAGATTTACACGGATTTTACTGTACACTCGTTTCTGGCAATACACCAATGCAGGTATGTGTACTGTACATTGCTTTTATATTAATGTAATTAAGAGAATTAAGATTATTCCAATTAAAATATTAATCAATTTTCATAATATATGTAACTTGCCTGAAGAGATGAAATGGTGTAAACTTTAAATTCACATTTCTTTAATTCACCTTTCATCCTTAGAAATAATTAAATTATTAAGATATCTGTGATATTTATAAGTTTTGCGTTCAGTAATACTAAGAAAGTATTCAGAATATGAAAGAATACTTATATGATTAAATTTATAATAATTTATAATTCAAATATATATAATACACCCATACAGAAAAAAAAACATCAATTTTTTGCATTTCTCGACGTTTCAAGGTGTCCTAAGTCCAAAAAATGTAAAAATATTCGAAGGTTTCATTTTTTTGAGAAATCGCCATACTTTCCTTCTTTTAGTTATATTTAACAGCCCGGAAAGTATAAGTACAGTAATTTCAAATAAATTTATTCTTTCTTCACACACAATATTTATAAAAAAACAAAAAGAAAAAATTGTTAATTACTACATTAAAACAATATAATTTAAAATTATTTGGAAATAAATGTACGATCAGTTTCATATTTCCTACACTAATATAGTGTAATGAATCCTTCCATTATTCGGGATGTCTACCAGTGGTCAATGGTTAAAACCACCGAACACCGAGAGTTAGTCGCGGGTTTACGCCTTATCAACGGGCTGGCCACGTGGAGATTTCCGGGTTTTTTCGCTTTAGTAACTCCTAAATAGGGGCCAGTTTCCCAAGTTTCCCATAAAACACTGCCCGTTGGCTCAATGGCGTAGCGTAGTGGGGGTGGCAGGGGTGGCAGGGGCGGCCCGCCCCGGGCGGAACTTTTAGGAGCGGCAAAATTTTACAATAAATAATACAGTAGAGAATCGATTATCCGACTCAATTGGGGACTCAGGTTGGTCGGATAACCGAAAAAATGAAAATATACATTATTAATACAGGTAACCCTCGGTTTATGCCGCAGTTCCGTTCCTACAAAAGCCGGCGTAAAACAAACCCATATTTACAGTGAGGTATAGGGTTAGGTTCTACATAAGTGAAAATACAATATAATACAAAATACATATAAATTTAATTTTTAAAATGTATTTTAACATAAAATAAAGTAAAATGTTTTTATTTAAAAATTTTAGTTTCGAATTTCTTACATTTTTCGGAAAAAAGTATCCATCTTTAATCATTTACATTTTTGTTTCCTTTCATAAGAATTTTGGAATATGGTCAAATGGATGCGATGATGCTCCTTTTTACATTTGCACTTCGCTCCCAATCATTGTCAAACTTTCCTTAGTTGAAAGGATACGTTAATCCGACGTAGAACTACGGACGAGCGGAGACACTGATTGGTCGACCACCGGTCGCCGTAGCGCATATACTGTATAAGGTCAGTTTGAGTGGGAAAATTCAAGGTGGCTAAGGAGAGATAAATATCGTCTGGCCAACGAGAAGTAGATTTGTCTCACTAACGATAATTTGTGATCGCCGGAAGNCCTAATAGTTGACTCATTTAAATTAAAATGCCTACCAATATCAGCTATCCGCTCTTGATTTTTAATTTGATCCAAAATTTCTATCTTTGTTTGAAGAGATATAAATTTCCTTTTTAACGACGATCCTTTTTTTTCATTCGACATTGTTATGGCTAAAATTTTTTTCAAGTAGTTTTGTGGATAGTAAAAATCAAAAAAAATAACTTCCTTTTACTATGTTGTTAAAAATATACACCCAATAAAAGTACATACTGTATTTTGGACCACTTTTGTGGTCCCCACCTGTTGAGTATAAATTATCAAAAATTCAGTGATATATTTGACTGTTTATGGTAACTGATGCACATCTATCTAGAAACCGGTCTTCCCCTAAAACTTTCNTTGACTCGTGGGTACCTAAACGTTTAGTATTTTAATATTAATTTAATGAAAATGTATACATACCTAATAATATTAAACAGAAAAAATAAATATATTCAATAAAAATCTTTTTTTTTTTACGAATGTACAATGTCGCGGCTCGGTAAATAAGTCAACACTGAAATGAAAACCAGTCTAGCATAGGGAAAATCGGGGAATTACACCTCGAAACAGCGAATTGCGCAGCGGCGTTATTGTGAATCGGCGTAAATTGAACCGGCGTAAACCGAGGGCTACCTGTATAGTATATTAGTATATCGCTATTAACCAACTTCGCGTTGAATTTTCATCGATGTTAAGCCTAACAAATTTTTTTTTAAAATAATAATCGTTGCTATTGTATCGTTAAAAATTATTTTTAAATTATTTTATTGTTCACAAAACAAACAACCACTCATAATTAGAAAATTAAGTCTCGTTTAAATACTGGCCTCCCTTCAATGGTCGAGCCAGTGTTGCCAGCTAAAACACGCAAAAATTTAACAAAAATAATATTAAAGTAGCCAAGACATAGCAAATATTGTAGCGCCACATCACTAGCGGACATTTGAAATTTGCCGACTAGAACGGTCGGTTAACCGATGTGACGATTAATCGGGGGTTCGGATAATCGATGCTCTATTGTAATAATATCTTGTAAAAATTTGAACCAATTTCATTTCATATTTTTGTCGCACCTACGATTCGGACCGATTAAAACGAGCACGGAATTTTTCATTATTTATTCTGTGACGAAACTTAATTTTAGTCTTTTAAATTGAGATACCTAAATAAGGGAGCGGCGAAATTTTCCTCCGCCCGGGCGGCTGACACCCACGCTACGCCACTGCGTTGGCTTTTATTGGTATGCAGCAACGCGACACATGGGCGATCTGACGAGGGGGAATGTCTCCCGGGAGATCTTTTAACGTGAATAACAGGGCCGGATTAACCCACTTCGGGGCTCTAGACATTTTCTTCTTAACGGGCCCACTCCCTCTCCCACAAGAAATAGAGCACACAAAAAATATAAAATAATAAATAAAACATAACTAAATAATGTGAAAAACTAAAACAAATCTTAAATTTTTATTAATAAAAAATATTTAATATACAACAATAAATTTTAGTTTTTCTAGAAAAGTTTGAACAATTTGTTTATAAATTTAAAAAATTGAAATTTGTTTTATTAAATGTCTAACAAAAGTTGTTGTAAAATAACAATATTTACCTTAAAATATTAATTGTCAACAAGACTATGTNAATCTCAAATTATTCATATCACCATCAAACCAATATTAATATGAGTAAAACTAATAAATACTAGAAGCTGATATCAAATGACACAGGTTATATGCTACTGTTGGCACAGAACACTATGGTATTTTTGAAAAATTCAAAATACATGAAAAAAAATTGTAAAGAACAAAAACACACAAAATAATTAAATGTCAACTTTTTGAAAGTTATATTTTATCATAATATTCTAAATATTTTCATATTCCATAAATCTTATCACAACATAGTTCATTTGTTACGATATAAAAACTACACAAAATTTCTTTCCAATTAAAACAACAAGTGATTTGTTAATTTAACCAGTATTTCTTTATTCAAGTTTAATTTTTCACTTGGAAAATAAATTTCTCTGTCTGATGATTTTTATATAAAAACAAAATACATTACCTTTCCAGATACAGTTTCTCCATCATAATATAAGTAGTGTTTTTCTTTTTTGCCATCTTCTGTTTTAATTTCTGCCAACTTTCGTGTGTCTTCACCATCTAATATTATATCAATATCCGCTGTTTGTCCCAAGCCAAAGAAACTCTAAGTTAAATGAAAGATGTTAAAAATATTTTAATTAAATTTTAATAAAATGAATGTTTAAAAAAATAAAGAAGCATTTCGAAAGCATTTTTTGATTGCTAAAAAAGCTTTTGAAAATTATCTTGCTATTGTAAAGTTTATCACTTTTATCACTAATATGATAACTAAATAAAATATAACTCATACATAATATACCATATTATAGCTTTAAGTAAAAAATAAAAATGCAAAAATATATTTATTGAAACTTTTGAGATTGAATCTCAATAAATTAACTTTATAAAAATAAGATAAAACAAAAAAAAAAAAAAGTTTTTTCAAGTTGCCAAGTCTTTTATTACATGTTAAGCCTATACCAAGTCTGAGAGCCATTTTGGTACAGTGCACAAATGGCTCTCAAATTTTAGCAAGTTCACTCTCAAGCAGTACATCAAAGAGTTTGTTCTCAAACATGTGATCATTACTGGAATTGATCTGGATTAAAAAACACTATTGCTTGTTTTTAGGCCAGATCCAGCTTTCCACAGAATACAGTATCGAAACGCCCGCAAAAGCTTATTGCATGTGTTTGAAAAGCCCACAAAAGCGCTCCTCAACGCATGCGCTGCTAGTCGTGTGGATTTAAGATGTTTCGAACGCTCGCAAAAGCTTGTTGCACGTGACCAACGGAATTACCGAACGTTATAATTTAGAAATTGACAAGAAAAAAATATATATATATATTTCCGTTTTCTACTTGGAACACTCTGCACGTTCTAATTTTCAAATTTGTTCTTTTTTCGTCTGAGGACGACGATATAATACTCGTCGAAAGTACTTGCGATATAAGAAAAATCGTATTAACGCTGAACTCAGTGCTTTATCAAGAAGCTAATTCATAAAACATTGAAAGTTTATATTTACAAAGTACAATCATCCAGAAAATCACTTATGGCTGCTGCTATTTTCGTTGTGAATTTGTCTCTTTAATCCGATTTTCAGTTCGGTAGACTATCATATACAGCATTCAGGTTATGAATTTCCTTTATTGATTTGTTATATGCATTTCGGACTCAATTGTAATTTAAGTCCCTCTTCAGTACAAACTGTTTAAAAAATTTTATATACAATTACTTAAAAATTATATACAATATATAAAAGAAGTTCATAACCTGAATGCTGTATATGATAGTCTACCGAACTGAAAATCGGATTAAAGAGACAAATACATAACGAAAATAGCAGCAGCCATAAATGATTT